ACAAAGGTTTGTCTCTCGGCACCTCCTTTGAGCAATGCTCCACGTATCCAAATGATCCCCCAAGCCCTTTCCGAAGTGCTTACCGTCCTTCCATGAGACAGCTCCAGGAGCCCCCCATAAACTCCTCTCCTCCAGCAGCTCCGTGCAAAAGCGATGTGAGAAAAACCCCTTAAATCAGCCCCCGGAGGAGCCGCCCCCCCATCATCCTCACAGCTCGCACCTGGGGCTACTCTGAGCCCTCCTCATCCTCAGAGCTCGCACCTGCCGCTGTTGCCGCCCTCCAAACAGCGTCTCTCCCTCTCCAGCACAAAGCCCACTTCTCACTGACAGAGATCAAACAGAAATCTGCTACGGGTGTTGGCTTTTCTTAATCCATCTGGTTACACGATTAAAGCACATGCGTGCACTGATGGTCATTGAGAGAAAGCTTTCCCCTGGAGAAAATAGTCCTGTTGGTAGCACACTTTGCTACACCTTCGGAAAAAGCAGAATAGGCACCAACTCCTAAGACCCCTGCCGAGGAACCCGGCCCTCCTTGGGACACCCAAAGCAGCAGACCTCGGAAAAGGAGGGGAAAAGTCAAGCTTGGAGTGGAAAAAGAGGACAGAAGTACAGCAGCCTTTAAAAATGCCTGCACGGAGCAATAGTGGGAACCAGTCCCATTTCTTCTTTCCTTGCTTTCTGTGATGACATAAATAGGAAGTAAGAACACGTTAAACAAAAGGCAGAGCTAGGATTTTACAGGTCTTCGTTTCGGCAGACGGCAGAGAACGGAGGCAAAAGGTGCCGGAGACCCCTTTCTGTTCCCTTCAGCCCTTGCAGCTGCCCCGGTGCTTTCGGGGCACTTGCTTGGTTCATTCCTTCCTAGAGAAAAGGGCAAGGGCATGATTTTCAAAACTACTGCCCATCCCCAGTCAGAGTTTCCTACATTCCTGGGTACAAAGGAGTGGATAGAGAGAGGGCTTCTTTCCAAATGAGTTTAGCGATAGATTCCTATTCTTTACCAAAGGCTGTGAAAACAAAACCCTTGCCAGGTTTTAGTATTCTACACACACCCCTCCCTGGGAATTTTGGGGCAGCTTTGGGTCCCTCTGCGGGACGGCACCCAGCCTGACCCCCCCCTCATTCGCCACCCACCCGCTCCCCCACCGCAGTGTGCCTCCCTCTCCTAGGGACCTCGGGGTGCCCCAAATGACAGCAGAGCCCCGAGTCTTCAGCCCCTTTTCCTGACCCCCAAAGAAGGCACAGGACGAGGCCAACCGCCCTGCACAGCAGCCCAGCACTCCCTTCCAGCCCTTTCCACACCTCCACCCCCCCAGAAAGGGACTCCGCCGCAAAAGGAAAGGGGGGGCAGCCCCCAGAAGGCTTGAAGCCCCCGCCCCGCCTCGCTGTCGCAGGCCAGGGGCAGAAATTGGGAGCGGCAGAGGCGGCGGGGACGCGGCACGGCCGGCACGGCGCAGAGCGGGGCCGCTCTCAGCGCGACGGTGGCGGAGCCGCAGGTCCGGCAGCGCCGGGCGGTGTCCGAGCGGCGCGGGGGGATCCGCCGAGAGCCTCCGGCCCCGTGCGGGGACTCCCGCAAGGGCCGGGGGGCGCCGGGCTCCGGCCCTTGGGGCTTTATTCTCCGCGCCCCGAGCCCCGCGGCTGCGGGGGAAAGAAGCGAAGGGCGACGGGAAGAGAGGAGGGAGAGGGGGCATGGAAAGGGTGGGGAGGGAGGTCGGGCTGCGGAGGAAAGCGGGCGGGGAAGGGAAAGGCCGGCAGGGGACGAAGAGGGACGGTGGACAGAGGAAGGAGAGAGGGGGAATAGAACGGAGCAGCGGGGCAGGGACAGGAGAGGGAGGAGTGGGGGGGGGGGGGGGCGTTTGGGGGAAGAGGAGGAGTGGGTTTAGGGGAGCAAAATGGAGAGAAGGAAGGAAGGGTAGAGGGTGGGACGGGAGGGGAGGCTGAAAGGGGACGAGAAGGAAAGGCGGGAAGAGAAATAAGGCGAATACGAGCAGAAGGAAGGAAGAGTAGAAGGGAGCACGGGAGGAGAGGCCGAAAGGGAAGCGAAAGCAGTCGGCTTTGGGGAGGAGAGGAAAAGGGGGGAAAGGCAGAGAAATAAGGCGAATACGAGCAGAAGGAAGGGTAGGGGGGGGGAAGGAGAGAGGGTCGAAGCTGCGGAGCCCAGACAAAACCCACCCACCCATAACCCGCTCAGCGTGAGCAAATGGCGGCTGGGGCGATTCCCGCTAGTTAAACAACCTTGGCTCCGCCCCGCGCAGCCGCCCTGCGGTCCCGCACACCTGAGCCAGCGCCGGGCCCGGCACGTGAAGCTCCGCCCCGGCCCCGCCCCGAGCCCGCCCGGGATGGAGGCGGGGCCATTGCTCCCGGCCCCGCCCGGGATGGGAAGGGGGGTGCTGGTTCGGCTCCTGGCGGTGCCGGCTGGGGTCCCGAGCGGTGACCGGGGGTGCTGGTTCGGCTCCTGGCGGTGCCGGCTGGGGGCCCGAGCGGTGACCGGGGGTGCTGGTTCGGCTCCTGGCGGTGCCGGCTGGGGTCCCGAGCGGTGACCGGGGGTGCTGGTTCGGCTCCTGGCGGTGCCGGCTGGGGTCCCGAGCGGTGACCGGGGGTGCTGGTTCGGCTCCTGGCGGTGCCGGCTGGGGTCCCGAGCGGTGACCGGGGGTGCTGGTTCGGCTCCTGGCGGTGCCGGCTGGGGGTCCCGAGCGGTGCCGCCTCTGCCCCGGCGGGCGGGGTCTGGGTCTCTCTCGGGCCGGAGCACCGAGTCGGCGCTGGGACCGGGATCGGGACCGGGACCGCCGCGGGCGGCGGGAGCCGCTCCGGGACGGGCGCCGGGGCCGAGCCGGCGGTGGCGGCGATTTCCTGGTGCTGACTGAAACCGGCCGGGGCGTGGGGACTCCCGTGCCGGCCCCAGCACCCAGCAAACCCCGCCGCTCCCCGCGGTGCCAGGGAATTTTCTTTTTTCCAGTGTAGGCCGAGAAATTTTTATGAGAAAACTCAAAACTCAAGGGTACAGGATCTGAGGGGAGAGAAGAGATTCTGGTATAAATTCAAATTGCATTGTGAAAAATAACATGGAACAGCTCATTTCCACTCCCAGCCTGGTTTCTGCATGATCGTCTATGATTCCAACTGCTCCGGTGGGATTGTCAGCCTGTGGGGCTGTAATGACTTGCCAGGTGCTAAGCACGACAGAAAATAACGGGAAAACTCCCCGGATCTGGCAATGGAGCCTCTCAGTAGTGTCCCGAAAGCCCAGCAGTGCCCAGCATCTCTGGATGGAAGCTGAGGGGTTCCAGCACAGCCCCTCTGCAGTGTTCCTCTGGAGCTGACACTGCCCAGCATCCCTGACCAGGGTCTGGGGGGTCCCAGCACAGGCCCCCTGGCACAGGCCTCCTCGCTTCTTCAAGTTCCCTTTAACCTGGATGATTTTCTTGGGGGTAGGAGCACCCAAAGCCAGCAGAACTGGCCTCAGCCACTTTCTGTGGGATCTCTCCTCTTCCTTCCTCGCCAAATTTCCACTGTTAAAACCCAGCTTGAGGCTCAGCTTCCCATCCCCTCAATGTCTCCAAGGAACTGGGCTTGGATTTCCCAATCCAGCAGGGCAGAAATGCTCTTGTCTTTACTGGATATCCTAATAGCAGTAATTGATTAAAAAATAATTGAAATAAATTAAAGGAATTAAGAGAATCTAAATAAGAGCTGCCAGCTCCAACTAAAAGATGCTCAAACCCCTTATCAATAATTTGCTTTAATTAACCAACTCAAAAAAAGTAATTAACACCACATTGATACAGTATGATTATTTTTAAATGAATTTTAGATAAATATTGCAGGATGTAAAAAGTTTTGTACACCCAGAAACTCTTTCAAGAGATAGACAGGGCACAGCTGCAGAGAGTCTCGGGATTCAGGGGAAAAAACCTGAAGTTTTCAGTCTTTAGCATCTTCCACCATGTTGTCACTGACAGCAAACACAGCTTCAGCCTCAGGAAGACACGGAGAGTCAGGGATTTTACAGATCCTGCTCTCACCTCAGCCTTTCAGCAGGTACAGTCTGCAGGGAGAGGGAAGAAAAAGGGTCAGAATGGATAGCCTACTTCCAGAAAATCATCACAATTCATAAAGCAGTAAGTAGAGCTGCAAGAACTTCCCCAAAGGTTCATTTCCCTGCGGACTGAGGGCTCTGAGTTGAAGCACAGGCTGGACCTGTCGTGGACAGACTACAGGAACCCCAGAAGTAAAAGCTACTGGGCCAATTCCATAAAACATTACAAAATCAGGCTCCTAGGATATGGCCATCTCTTCTCTTACCTGATGGTGGAAGCACAAGTAATTATCTTCCCTCCTGTAGTTTTTTTGGGATCTGCAGTGAACTGCAGGGGAAAAAAACAAAGCCCAAGTATTTCGCACAACTGGAACAGAAAAGTGGGGAAAAAAGATGCAGGGGCACTCCTGGGGTGATAACTGGGATCCAACCTCTCCACACCAATGGAAGCAGAGACTGAGTGACAAAGCCTTTGGGACCAATTTGCTGGGAATTCATAAGAAAATGGATAAGTTTTATTTTGGCAAAAAAGCCAAGCTGGTTATCACCTCATCAGTCGGGTACAGCAGCAGCACCCGCAGGAACCTGGCCAGGTGGATCTGCCTGGCAGAGGGCTCCCAACTTCCTGGGAATCTGTGTGCTACAGGGCTGTGGCACTGGCCATTAAAACAGTTCCTACCTGTCCCTTCACAAGGCAAGGTGGTTTTTCCATACAGCAAATGTTTTTTGAATTAAGAAGATAACACTACACTCAACTGGAGAAGAAAAAAGTGAGATCGGTTAAATTTTCCTAAGCCAGGCAAAAAAGAAAGCCAAATCAAACCAAAACAAAAACTAACATAATAATGAAAAAAAAAAAAAACATATCAAGCATATTTTAAGAGAGTTTAAATTGGAATGAGGTGACTTACTTAGAAAGCTTGAAAAGCTGCTATGCTGCAAAAATCTAATGCTGCAAAAAAAGCCTTTTCTTACATCACATTTTCTCCCTGAACTTGCAAAAAGACCCTGCCAAACTAACAATTCACCACATATCGTTCTTGAGTCATTCCTCTCTTTGAGCACGAGACAAGCTAAAGCTATGGAGACAAGAAAAACATAAGTGACTTAATGCCGCTCTTTTGAAAATTACAGAATCACAGGGAGGTTTTTCCTTAGCTTAGTTCAGCAGATACTGGATAGCAGGGAAGTCAGGAGATAAATGTTTTGCTTTCAGAGACAAACATTTAAATAAATATTTACATTAAACCAGAAATCAACAGATTGTCTGATCAGAAGTCTTTATTAAGAAAAATAAAGAGGATGGCAGGGCCAAGGCTCACGTTCGCCCTTCTCCTGCAGCTCAGCGAGTATTTCCTGTCACACTTGCCTGTGCAGAGCAGCCACGCACGACTCGACGGTGCTCAGCCTTGTCTCCAGAGCTTTGAATATCACATCCACCTGCAAAATAGCCAGGAAGAGATTCTGGCTTACACACAGGATTTGATAACACAAAGAGCACGTGTGGATGTCAGAAAGGGCTCAAATCTCATCTCACACCACCAATTCTTTTCATTTGATTCTTTCCCTGCTGCTCTCATACTTTGAAAGATCACCCAACTCTAACATTCACTGTCCACACAGTGGACAATTTTCCAGCCTCGGTGTCAGAGCAACACACTCAGCTTTAGCTGGACAACCTTCAGTCTCCACAGTCAACTTCCTTACACTATTTGCTCCCAGCTCTTTCTACCTGCAGTCACAAGATTTTAGTAGAGCAGAACATCAACTTGATTGATGATGTTAGATTTCAATACAAAGCTACAGCAAAAGCAGTAAGTCCATTTGCACGAAAGGCAAGAAGAAACATGACTAAAAGTTAAGAAGTGAATCAGAACTAACTAGAAACAACATACCAAATTACTGAGACATAAATAGGAACCTAATGCTTTGCTTGATAAACAGAAAATGCTAATTACAGTGAAAATGGAAGGAAAAGTTACTGAAAATCTTGAATAACTCAAGATACCAATGACATGCTACAATGCACTGAATTACTCTGGGTGAAATAAGCTGTTCCCAATAAAGTATTGAAGAACATTAAGGTTTCACAGAGGTGATTTAGACAAAGAATGATATGAGGTTAAATCTCACCCTTTCCAGCACCTCCTGCAAGACAGCTCGACTTTCAAGAGTAAGCGGTTCCTCATGAAGAACAGCTTGCTGTCCTGGGGTTCCTAGAATATAGCTGAGATGCCACAGTTTAGATCATGCACTTCTCACTCTGAAGCCAAAAATCCAGACACAGCACTCCTCCAGAAGCCTGACAGGCAGCCATGGATTCTGGGGCTGCAGGATGCAGTGAAAAATTGCACAGACACCAGGAACAGTGCGATGCTGGCTGGGAGAAGCAGCATTACTCTCCAAGAAAAGTGCATTCTGCAGCCAGGTTAGTGCTGTAGAGAATTTTACTGCCATGCCATTTTACTGTCAAAAAATAAGGTATCATAGCTGTAGAATTAAGAAAAAAACCCAAACGCAATGTGAACTTCAAAAAAAAACAGAGGCATTAAAACTAGTTCGGGTGAACACTGTCCATTAGAACAATGCTTGCATAAAAGAACACTGGCATAAGGCCGTGATTCGCAATATAGTTACTGAAGAACACCTTAAGACCACTTTTCAGTGCTATAAACTGACTAAACCCATACACACTTTAATTTTCTAGACAGATTTTAAGAGGGCTTACTGAGAGGGTCAAGCACATACTCAGCTGTCAGATTTGCCTTTGCCCACCTATTATAGTTTGACATAGAAGTGAGTGTTCTCAAAAAGTTGGAGTCAAACTAATCAGTCATCAAGTTTAGATATTAACACTTAAAGTGACCACTAAAAGCATTAGACATGCCTCTGAGAACACACGGGGTTAAAAGCAAAGAACTCCCAAGAGAATTCTCTCTTCTGTTCCAGTCCACTAAGAGTACAGAGGGGAAGCCATGCCACCTGTAACTGAAGCAGACCAGAGACCCAGAAAAAGAAAGAGGGGTGAGGAGAATGAAACCAAAGCAACCCCCCCCACAAGACATAAAGGTAAAAAGCCACTAAAATGTCCCAAGCAAACCCCCCAGAGAGAGAGAGAGAGAAAGAGCGAGCCCGTTCCACCTAAAATTTAATATCATGTGCCAGCAGTACAAAGAAAACAAAAATAAGAGAAAAGCTAGTGCCCAGCCATAAGAATTCAGCAGCCTATTGTAAGATCTCAACCATCCTGGGAGCTTAAGACACTTTTAACTCTTTCCTGTAAAAAGAAAACTTTACAAAACCTTACTCCTCCTTAATCTAAAAGAAAAGAGAGATAGCCAAAGACCTGAAATGTCAGAAGAAAATGAGGGAAGAAGCCTAAGTAGAAAGAAATAATAGGAGTAGCTTTAGCTAGACTTTTCTTGTATAGCCATAGACTAAACCAATTTTCTCCTACAACACAGAGGCTGCATTTTTAAGAGGATAAAATTACTTAAGCTAAAAATATGCAAGAGTAAAGTAAACAAAGAAAAAAAGTTAAAGAGGGTCTAATAGTACCCTCTAGCTTCAAAAAAAAAAAAAAAAAATCTCTGTTCTCGAGACCCTCGGCCCCAGGGAAGGAAAAAATGGGGGGGGACTGTTATCCCAAAAAGAAAAAACTGTTACTCTTTTAGTCCTTAGCAAAGCATTCTTAAAAAGAAACCCTATAAGCAGCTTCAGTCCATGCACAGTGGTGGGAGCACTGTGACATGGAAGGGAAAATGTCACAATAGCACAGAAACACAAGAAGTTACAATTGTGTTTCTTAGAGATCTATAATACAAGAGAAACTCCTCTCTCCCTTGATAAACTAAAAATTAATTATCTAAAGAATAGTAACTTAATCAAGAATCCAGAGTTGTGTCTCACTGTTTTAGTAGAAATTGAGTAGAAGAAAGTTTAAAAGGTTTTCATCCTAAATTCTGTGTATTCCTTTTATTGTAGCTATAAAATAATAAAGTTTTCTCCTTTGTTTTTAAGCTCAAGCCTGCTCTGCTCTGTTCCTAATCACATCTCACAGCATTCAGTTAAAAAACATAAATTTTCATTAAAGCGCTGACATTGTGCCAGTGTCAAACCGTAATGCCACCTTAGCAAAGACAGAGCAGTGCAGGTCGGACCCGCCCCAAGTTCTGCCTGAGCCCCTCTGGCCACGCTTCCTGCTGATAATGCCGACCCCTAAGGGGTTCTAGACAGGCTATCTGGGGCTTGGTTTGGGCGCTCTTCTGATCAAATGAGAAGGACCCTTCCCGTGCCCTGGACCTGGTGATATTTTCTTGGCTGGAATGCAATTTCTCATACAAACGGCAGACCTGGCTGTTTTGGTTTTTTTTTCCTAAGATTTGCCTTACAGAGGTGATGTTTCTCACAACTGAGCACTCTGATGCCAACGGCAGCAACACAGAAAACCACTCTGGGACAGAGCAGCAGGAAAAGCTCCCTCGAGACTTCCTAGAGATATGACAGGAGCACCATCACAGAACCTGTGATGCCTGGTGAGTGAAATGGAGCTGGCAGGCTGACCCACAAACATTCTGTCTTTACCTGTCAATGGAGTCAATACTGAAACAGAACAAATCTCTCTTATAGTCGAGGTTCCTTGAGGTGCACCTGTAGATGCTGCCAAGTGTCGTTGAGCAGCCAGAGCAGAATAAGGTTTCTACCATGCTGTAAGAAATAACATTTATTTAGAAGAAAATAAAAGGAAACACCTCTCCCCATCCCTTTTCTTAAAAAAAAAAAAACAAAACAAAACAAACAAAAAAAAAAAAAACAACAACCTCCCCATGCTAAATTAGAATTTTTTTTAGGCATTCATTATTGCTTTACACATTATAAATTATGAGCATTCATCCTTCAGCCTGAATTTGCAATAGCTCCTCAGGCTGACTGACCTCAGGAAGACCATCAGAATCACTAAGTTGTGGTCGGGACATTAAAGCTCATCCCATTCCACCCCCTGCTGTGGGCAGGGACACCTTCCAGTGTCCCAGGCTGCTCCAAGCCCCAGTGTCCAGCCTGGCCTGGGACACTGCCAGGGATCCAGGGGCAGCCACAGCTGCTCTGGGCAACCTGCACCAGGGCCTGCCCACCCTCCCAGGGAAAAACTTCCTCCTGATATTTCATCTAAACCTGCCTTCCTTTATCCTAAGGCCATTCCCCTTGCCAACGGCCCCGTGTCCCTGTGAGAAATCCCTCTGCCTTAAGCCACAAGCGCTTGTACAGAGCACCCCACATAAGAGTCCCAGGGGCTCTGGGGGCACACGAGCACTCCGGGCCCTTGGCCGGGCTTGTCCTCAGCGCCTTCCCCGCGAAGGCCCGGCTCTGTGCCCGGCCAGGACCGGCCCTCACCATCCGCACTCGCCGGGCAGATTGGAGACCTTCCGCTCTGGGTCCACGGCGACGCTGGCGGCCGCACCTGCAGCGGGAGAGAGGGAGGGAAGGAGGGATGGCGGAAAGGACGGCGGCAGGGACGGCGGGGACACGCCGGGGCGGCGGGGCCGGCACTCACTACGCAGCAGGATGCAGCCTCTCTCCTCGTCGTTGAACACCCAGCTCGAGGTGTCGCCCACGGGCCGCTTGCAGCCAGCGCACATGAACACCATGGGCATGGGGGGCGCGTCCGCCCGCCGCTCTCGCTGCTGCCGCTCGGCCCGGCCGCCGCCCGGCTCCAGCAGCGACAGCGAGTACTCCAGCTCCGGGCAGAGCGCCATCGGGTCCTGCCCGCCCGCCGAGGGACCGGCAGCGGCCTCCAGCATCGCCTTCGAATGGCCCGCCGAGGAAGCAGCAGTGACGGCGGACATCGGCCCGGAACCGCCCCCGCGCCGCTCGCCCCGCCCGCCGGGGCTGCCCCGGAACTGTTCCCGGGGCCGGCCCGCGCCGCCCGTGTGGCGTTTGGGCCTCGTAAGGGCACGGAACTAAGGCAAAGGGTGTGGTTACTCCGGTACATCGGTTTTTTTATGAGGCGTTTTATCAGGTCACTCCTAAGTCAGAAACCCTCCTGAGCTGGAAGGGACCCCCAGGGACCATCCAGTGCCACCCCTGCCCTGCCCAGACACCAACAGTCCCACCCTGGGCATCCCTGGCAGCGCTCTCCAAAGGCTCCTGCAGCTCTGGCAGCCTCGGGGCCGTGCCCGTGCCCCGGGGAGCCTGGGCAGTGCCAGCACCCTCTGGGGAAGAGCCTTTCCCGATCGCCAACCTAAACCCCTCCGGACCCAGCTCCAGCTGTTCTCTGGGTCCTGTGCCTGGTCACGGCAGCAGAGATCGGAGCTGGGTCCCGGGAGGAGCTGCAGCTCCCGGTGAGCTCTGACCTCAGTCTCCTCCAGACTGAAGAGGTCAAGTGTCCTCAGCCACTCCTGGCGTGGCCCCTCCAGACCCCAGCCCTTTCCATCCAGATACATTCAGGAATGTTTTCCAGCCCGGCTGTGCTCGGGAGCTCCCAGGAACAGTGAGCTGCTCGGAAAGAAGGGTCTGTGATCCAGCTGGCACTTGTCCAACCTGTCCCTAGGTTCAAGGGCACCCATCTCAGTTTAAAACATCCTGAGGAATAACATGAGTGACTGGCAAGAAGCGAGGATTGCGTTTTCAGGGCCCCTCCTACATCTCTGCCATACATTAACACTCATTGCCATGAGATGTTTTCAGTCCCCAGGCAGCCCTTGAGCTGCGGGACCCCAGAGTGACTGGCACAGGCACCAGTTGTGCAATTCTCTTTCTGAGGGCGCTGCAGTGCGGTGAAGCAAAGTAGTGGGTCGGAGTTCTGAGCTGGCTCAAAAGGCGCCACTGACATGGCTAACAGAACAAACTCCTCGGAGTATTTCTGGTCTTATGAATATTACTGGGATTACATAGATCCAATTCCAGTAGATGGAAGCAAGTTGAAGGTTAATAAATGTAAGTATTGTGGAGTGGTAGGTGCTAATCTTGCACAGGGAAAATGTTGGGTACCTTGTCTCACTGACCTGGTTTTGTTTCCTGCAACAGAGTCCATGCCAGTGCCTGGTTTGTGTGAATATGTGTTTGCCTTCAGGCTGGATAATTACTAACAAACACTCTGGGCTTTATCTTACAGTATTTGAAGCTATAAGACTGCTGACACTAATTCTTCTTTACAAGGACAGATTTTTTTTTTTTTTTTTAGTCCTTTGCTAAGGGGAAATTTGATGACTTGCAAATCTGTAGCGCGGGGTGCTGGTTATCTGTGTGCTACTGTCACCAAAGTTCACTGAAAGAGCAGAGGTTTTCATAAAAATACTGTGTTTTCATCTTGGGACAAGGCTGACATTGCAACGGGTAAACATTCAGACTTTTAGTAAAGAAAATTTATGTTTCCACTAGCCAGGAACAATAAGCTGCAAACATATTCTTTGACCTTTCCTCCTTTGATTTAGTGCTGCTGAACTAATAAAGTAATAGTATCCATTATTGCGCAAATGCTTTGCTGCTGTGGAAACCGATTCTGCTGGGCTTTGCAGTTTATTTCCAAAGGATATGAAGTAGCATTCACTAATCTGACCTTGCCATTCCATTTCACACCTGGCTTTGCACAGTGAAACAGCGGTGTCTTGTTATGGCTACTTGTAGTGGCAAATGATTTTGGTTTTTCTAATGTAACTGCACTGATTAGGTTTTGCTAAGATAAAATGACAAGCTGGATCCCAGCAGATTAACTGAGGGTGATGGGTGGACTGACAAAGACCAAGGGAGAGCAGGCAGGGTGTGTTGGAGTCACTTGGGCTGCAGACAGTGCTTCCTTGATTTCTGTCAAGCCTCTGCCTGTGGTTGTATCTTCAGTTCATTAACAAAGTTACAGGCTTTACTCATTGCTCTTTAGTTTACTGAAGATGGCTGCAACTGTTCAGATGTGGATTCAGAGACTAAAATTGTTTTTCCCAAGGTTATTACAGTGAAATTATTATATGTTCCCGGAAAATGTGATTGCCTTTCAGAATCTTGTCTCTCTCACTAAAAATACAAGAAACTGCCTTTCTGATGGTGAAGGTTGAATTTGAATTCTGTGTTAGGAGCTGCTTGTCCTTCTCTTGCCTGAACCTGAACAGCAGTAGGAAAAAGGAGCAGAAACTTACTCTGCACCCCCTCTAGAATAGTTTTTCTGTGCATTCAGATCAGCTGAGGGTTTATTGCCTCCAAACTTAGAGTGCCACCCCTTAAAGAAAGTGGTGTGAATATCCACATCCTTCTGTACAGAAAATCTTGCTCTCTAATGTTGCAGAGCAACATTTGGTGCTGCTGGGACCAGGCAAATTATGAGCAGCTCCTCTGATTCTCTCAATTTTAAAGTTAGGGCAGATGATTACCTCCAAATTCCACTAGAGAAACCCCAAACTGCTTTGCTAAGCTAGATGTAAGTCTTTGGCATGTGGCTGGCATAGCAAAACCCAAAAATCAGGAATAAACCTTCCCCCATTTTCTCCTTAATAACATTTTTCTACCATTTGGATCACCTGGTGTGTAACAGAGATGGCATTTGTGTTGTGGCACTTCCCTCCTTGATACAGTATTTTTCTTCTGCTGCCTGTTTTCTTGAAATTTGTAGAAACTATGCTTCTGAGACAAGATGCTCACCCCTCTGTTAAATTTAATTTAATTTTGTTGACAGTTTTATGGAGGAAATTACCCCATATGTGCCTAAGAGTGATCTCATCAGCTTTATTTCCATTAAAAAGCAGGGTAAACTCATCTCGTATTGACTTTTTAGCCCCACTTGTTCACTTGTTCTGACCCCCCCCCCCCCCCCCCAAAAAAGAAGTAGAGAAGTCTACCACCTTTCAGGCATTTTTATACTCTAAGAAGATGAAAATAGACATTTTTTCCATGTCAGAAGCCTAGGAGGAATAGAGAGTGCATCCTCTTGGTACTATTATTCTTCCTTCTCCAGATACCAGTGGGAGAACAGCGGGTTACAAGTTCTAATGAAAACACTAAGGGAAACAATTCCCAACAGCTGGTTAGGATTTTTCATTGTTTTGAGTAAAGGTACCAGTCAAGCAATGAATATAGTTTGTCTTTGCATATTATTTACATCCTTATTCCCTGAGAAGCTGCTGCTGGGATTATCGGCTCCATGTGCTCAGGGCCATTGCTGGGGCAGCCCCAGGGAATTACACAGTTCCATAAAACTGTAATGGGATTGCAGTTCCCTCATTCACTTTTGCCTGCTATGTTTTGGTTTTCTTTTAATGTGAATCACAGACCTGAATCTCTGCACTTCTTTTCCTCTACTATGTGTGGCTGGTCCCTGAAACATTTTGAGACTGAATTTGTCTCATAAAAATGAAGGTAAACCCAGATGAGAAGCTTTCTATTTGTAATGTTGTGCATCTCTCTCAATTTTCTACAAAAATAATGAAAAATCTTAATTGGCCCATGATCTAATAGGCTATTTATAAGCACGCACACACATAGGCACAAAATGTGATGGTAAAATTTAGCAATAGGGAAGATTTTATAGATTGGTAAAATATGAAAATACATTATTCCAGTTAAAGAAAAAAAAAAAAAAAAAAAAACCAAACAAAAGCAAACAAGCAAAAACCAATTAATTGCAGAATTTAAACCCAGGAAATTTTGGTTTAAGCTCCACCTGAGCCCTGAAGCCAATTTATTTGGCTTCAGTGAATTCCATAACATCTATTATAATTGTTTTTAAAAGAAAAAGCCAAAATAGTTCTGACAGGGAATTCTATAAATCCAAACTCTTAATTTCTGTCCCAATGGTGTGGAACACTTCAAAACACTGGGCTTTTCAAAATGCCCCTGGGCAAAGGAAGAATAAAACAAGCTGCCCTCCCCACTGATATTTTTCAGTAGCCCAGTCTAAACTCCTGTTTCTGATAAGGGAACAGCTGGGCCAGCTCTAGTTTTGGGTTTAAAAGGCACTGGGCTCATTCCCTTAATCTATTTGTGGCTTTGATGCCAACACATACTGAACTTTTTTCACAAAGAAGCACTCAATCAAACATACTGGACCTGTTTCAAAGAACACAATGTTTTCTGTACTTGCAGAGGGAAGATTTATTTTGTCTTGGTCAATATTTGTCTTGGAGTCAGTGACCCTTCTTTTTCCACCTCATCTGAAGTGAGCCACCGGCTGTGAATGCAGGGCAGAACACCCAAACTTCCCAAGGCCACCACCAGCACCACAGTGACCCCAGGAAGGAGTGTTTTTGAACCAGTGGCCAAAGGCACTGTGGGGGTGGGAGCAGATCTGTCCCCTCCCTCAGTGAGCCCAAGGCTCAGGCAATAAAATCAGCACAGCGCTGAAGCCTCCATGAAAGAGCAGCTCCCTTTGCTCCCCCAACACCTCACACTCCCACTGAACCGGCAGTGGACACACTTTGGCACCGCCAGCCCTCTTGTTCCTGAAATAAACCATGTGCTCCTGGCAAAGCGGGCAGCAGCTTGCCCTCTTCCATGGTGGCTGCAGGGGCACTGCAGCTGAAAAGGGCAAGGGCACATTCTCTTCCACTGCACTGATGTGCTGAGAGGGGCACAGGCACTTGGCAACAAACTTCCCTTGCTATTTCTCGTGGTATAAACTGCTCTCAAGGCTGGAATTCCCTTCCTGAGGGCCTCTCCTGAAAGATCCTGCGGGATTAGGCAGTAACCACTCAGGCTTTCTGCACTATGGTTATGTAAAAGGAGCCATGTTCCAACATCTGCACAGGTCCAGTCACCAGAACACTCTCTGGAGGCTTTTCCCAGCCCCTCCCTCATCCCTGCTGCCATACCCTGTTAGGAGGTTCCCAAGACCTTTAACAAATTGGCACTTGGAGTCCTCTCTCTGAAAGGAGAAACGGAATGGCTCAAATGGCACACCTTTACTAGAGATGATAAACCATCTCACTGTGTTTTATTTCTGCCATGCAGAATGCACATGACAGAATTACTCTGCTGTGCCCACAGACTCCATCGTCATTGCCTTTTGGGTCGGCCTTGCTGCGTTTGTGACGTTTCTTTTCCTTGTTTTGCTGTGTATGTCCTGCTCCGGATCAACGCCAGCAAAGTAAGTATAACCAGAGATGAAGTAAGTAGATACTGGTGTGAAAAAATAACCTGTAGGAAACATTCACTGCCTCCAGTGACCCAGCAATGACACATAACGTTTATAACTGCACAGAGGAAGTGTCAGTATTTGGTCGGAGTGTCTCCTGACCCACCGCTCCTCCTTATATCATCAGAAAATTCAGCTCAGCAGGCTGGTCAGAGATTCAGGATTAGGTCAGAAAAACAAGCAGAGGGAAACAGCAGTCAAAGAGAGCACTAATATTCTCATTTATTGGCACCTAGGACCTCTGGCATGCTCACAAAGCGTAATAAAAACAATTTTTAAAAGGCAGTTTACCCAAATAAACCACAAAGCAGGAGGTGGACTAACAACACAACAGACATGGAAATGGATGTGAAATTGCAGGGTAACAGAGGCATGTTACCAAAAATTTACTGTTCCTAAAAAACTGGCAGGAGAAGTCTGTGTACTTGAAAATCTCAGAGTGCTTGCAAGACTTAAACAAAATATTAATTTTTAAAGTTTTTTTCACTTTTTCATCATGTTACTGAGCAAAATACTTGGCTTAAAAATACACATATTTATCCCTCATGTATTCAATTTTGGCCATCAAAGGAGCCATTGTGGCTCTAGACAAGGCAAGTCTAGAAATGTTTTCTGGAGTGCCCAGAAATCATTAATGAAAAAAAAAAAAAACCAATGTTCAATAAGATTTATTTAGGCTTTGAAACCATCCTATGTTATAATTTTTCTAGGCTTGAGACATATTGTGAGAAAATAATTTTAGGACTGAAGAAACTATTAAACCCAGTCACACACAAAACTTGTCCTTTTTGCTTGAGTTCTGTTTGTTTTTTAAGCCCCACTTCAATTCCACTTCTCCCAATTCCAGCACTGAAACCCAGTGGAGTGCTTGAAAGGAGCCGCTAGTGTAAACTTGCACCGCCTGCCCTGTCATCCTCTCTGCTGTGTCCCCCACCCACTGCCCTTGGCATGACAATCATCCAGTATCTCTGTGGAAACCTCACGTCTCTTTTCTTACGGTAATCCCGATACACTCACCCAACAAACGCGCTCAAGTCACCGGTCAGGGTTGGAGAACTTTTACCTTCACTGTTTCTCTGCTAATCCATCTCTGTCAAGCCCAGGGACATGCAGGACCTCCTGTGCTCTCCCAGCTCACCCACGTCCTGGTGAGAGGAGGCAGCTTCTCTGGGCACCCTGTGCCAGGACCTGTCCACTCTCCCAGCCAGGAATTCCTTCCCAAGATCCCATCCATCCCTGCCCTCTGGCAGAGGGAGCCATTCCCTGTGTCCTGTCCCTCCATCCCTTGTCCCCAGTTCCTCTTCAGCTCTCCTGGAGTCCCTTCAGGCCCTGCAAGGGGTTCTGAGCTCTCCCTGGAGCTTCTCCTCTCCAGGTGAACTTTCCCAGCTCTCCCAGCCGGGCTCCAGAGCAGAGGGGCTCTACCCTTCAGAGCACCTCCATGGCCTCCTCTGTGCTTGTTCGAACAGCTCCACACACTGCTTGTGCTGGAGCCCAGGGCTGGGGCAGCTCTGCAGGTGGGGTCTCACCTGAGTGGGGGAGAGAGGCAGAATCCCCCCCATTCCCCCACCTCTTTTGATGCAGCGTTGATGCGATTTTGGCTGTGCATGACACCCATCTCCTCCTCCACTGCGTAACTTCAAGGGTTAACTCTCCTGGCAAGGGCCCTCCGGAGCAGAGTCCCTTGTTCTTACCTGCACATCTGCACACAAGCCAGGTACTGCCATGGTGCCTTCCAAAGGCCAGTGCAACAGCTCTCTCTACTCAGGCCACAGCGGAGTCTTGAGACACGCAGAGGCCCTGGACTGGAATCCATGATCCCATTGCAGCACACACTTCTCTGCAATACCGAGTGATTTGGTGCCAGCTTTGATGGGTGACTTTGGGAAAGTGGGGAAGGCTGATGCCTGTACAAGCCCTGCACTGAGGTATCCATGTCGCAGTCCCTCTTGTCAGCACTGCACGATCCCACAGAAATAAGACAAAAGGTCTGGAGCACAGGACCACTGATTTCAAACCCATCTGCCTGCCAAGGCAGCTGATGATCACACTGCTGGGATGCAGAGCATTAACATTTGCTTCAATTATGTGTATTAACATCCAAAATGTCACAGAAAAATAAGGGCTAGTGGCCAGAGATGGTTCCTGGCCAAGGCTGGAACTTCACACAGTGGAAAGAGGACAGGGCCAGCTCCTTCCAGGTGTCCCATGCACTTCACTGGAGGCTGTGCATTCCTGATAGCCATGCACAACACAATTCTTCTGGCTATCACCTTCCTACCAGATGGTGTAATGCTGGAGAGATACCCAAGCTGGATGCCCAGAGAGTTGGAAGATCTGCGTGTCTCATCCCTCATCCCTGTTTCTTGCTCTAGGAGAGGCTCAGTCCAGGGCCCTGGGGCTCCCTGCTGGCTCCAGACAGATAGATCTCCTACCATAAGGAACTCCATTCAGTATTTGGATGTGGTGCATGAGCACCCTCATAGTAAATTAGAGATGTGCAGCTGCCGTCATCCTTCCAATCACACTTCCCTCAGAAAATGATACCGGACATTGTCACTGCCCTTGTCTTTGTCCAAATCCACAGAGTCTGGAATTAGCTTCCCTGTCCTTTGAAAGACTTTTTCAGTTGTGTCTTAGCTTCAGTTCTGTGATTTTGCCTGGGCTGAGGTCAGTCACAGCACTGCCTAAGAGTGACCTGCTCTGACCAGGTGGGTCTCTGGGAACTGGGGCACTGGAACTCTGGAATTTACAGTTCCATTCATTACTTCTTTCACCTGTCAGTATCTGGCCTGGTCTACCAGCAGACCCACCGTTTGTTGCTAAAAACATCTCCTTCTCATTCCTTTCAGCACGACGATGAACAGGAACACAGGTTCGGGCAGGAGCTCATTAGGCAGTGACTGCACTCACGACAATTATCGGTCACAAGAGCACCCAGGGCAAATCCTGGTGCAAGGACGGAGTACTTGCCAGCAGCATGCATTGGAATAACTGTGCTAATCCAGCAGTTTGAATTTTTGGAATGCTGTGGGACATGCTTAATGTGTCAGTAATATTTTTTTAAAGAAAGCCCCCAAGAAGCAGTGGAAGAAAATAATAAATAATATTGCCTACTCACTGTCAGTGTCTTTGCCTTTTGCGATGTCGGCCGGTTCCACGGGGGTAAATTAACTTCAGGAAGAACTTTTGCTGCCGTCCTTGCTCGTGTGTTGGAATTCAGCAGAATCCTTGTTACTTTACACATCAGGAAATACAAGTTCAGCAGAATTTCAGTTTGGCTGAGCTCATCTAGGTTCGGCTGGGTTTGGCTAAACACTGTTTGGTTGGGCTGAGGACGGCTCGGTTCAGCCGAGCTCATCTCAGTTCAGCCAAATGCATTCAGTTTGCCTGAGCTCGGTTCGGTTTGCATTTCAAAGGTTCTCGCTCAGGCACTGCATGTTTGCAGATCTGCACTGGCATGCTCAACTACCCTCATGGCCACATTCTAGAACAATGTACCAGATTTCCCAGAGAAATCTGGGTATAATCACTGAGCAGAAAATCCTCTGGGCTTTAGTTCCATCTCTCACCTGTTCCAAGCAGAGGGAAGGTGGGTTTTTGTCGCACATCACAATGGATCAGGGCTTTTTTTTTTTATTAAAAAAAAGGGTAATAAAAATAAACCAGGTCTGACATAAATGTCTTGAAGTGCCATTCAAGCTTTTTAACCCAAGAAGACTGTCCTGATTCCCAAGTCCAGTCTTCTATTCATACTGGTTTTGGTATCATGAAACCAACCAGGCTCTCCAAGAAACAGTAAATCATGGTGCTGTCTCCTGGTTCTTTGCAATTACACCCCAGTGTAGGAAGCTCTGCAGCCTTTTTTCCCCATTCTGTATTAGGGAGAGGATGGATATTAAGGACACACACATGCACAAACAGTCTTTGGTTCTTCAAAAAAGATAAAAATGCCTATAAATAAAAATTACATAAGTAATATTGTCTCTCGAACTGTTCAAGAAAAGGGAAATCGGAGCTTTAATGTGCCACTGAGAGATGTTGAATCAAATCTTCCCCGAGTTTGCACCCAAACAAGGTAGGTCTATATGAGAACAGCTCCAGCGGCACTCACGGTGATGAGGACAGAGCAGAGCAGAATGTTAAAAGTGAAGTGTTAGTCCCCTGAATTAATGCCCTGATGGAGCCAAATTTTTTTGCAAAGAGACGTAACGGTTTCTTCCCCTTGTTTCCGAGTGTCTGAGTCAGCCTGTAACTCATAATCTGCACTAGTGCAGATCAATCTGACATGGTAATTAACATATCGGCTCCTGTGCTCCAAGCCACATGTCTCCAATGTAAATGGAAGTCAGGAATACAGAAACAGCTGTGGAAAAAAGAGAAGACAAAAATCAGAACAGATATTCTTCTATTTGCCCACAGGATTACCAAGCCAAGCTGCTTGCTACCTCCAGGACTGTTTTAAAAGAGTTCCCTAACTCTTTCACTAGCTGGAAAATCTGGAGTGGTTTTGCATGCAAAGCCAAAGACCTACTCACAAGAAGGAACAAACCAGTTTCCTGTTATAAATATAGCAGTTAGAAATCTGACCTGTCAGATGCTCTCATTGACCAGCAATAGGGATCAGCATCCAGGCCATGGAGCTGGGTTTTTTTGCAGACTATTCCCCTCTTGGATTTATATTTCTTTTACACCTTTTATTCCATTTCCGTCCCTGAAAGGGAAGTTTCTTAGAGGGAGTGGGAGTGTTGAGTGTCAGAAAACCTCACAGTGTGACGCTGTGCTGCCCACCCTGCCCCTGTCCCACCAAAGACACAGCTTCTGCTTTGGGAAGCCACGAGCCTGGGTGGATACGGGAGAGCTGATAGAATGGATTTAAAAAGCCATGGAATTTCCTAGTGTCTCCCACCACTGCCTTGTAACATAAGTGATAAGAACAAGACAAGTCACCTGTCTTGTCCGCATCCTCTTCCACCGCTGCTGATAGGCACAGAGATTTCAGAAGCTCGTGGAAGGTGCTGAACAGGCCCTGCTCCTCCATTAGCTGCAGCACGATGGAACTGAGCCCACCGAGCTGCCTGGAGAGCCCAGCCGAGGTGCTGCTGGCCTGGCAGGGCGGGTGCAAAGCTTGAAGAGGCTGTTCCTCAGTGTCTCATCCCTGAACATCTCCGCGCGGCCGCCGGGTGTGGCAGGACGCGGTTCTGCAGCCACCTCGGTGCTGGGGACACGTCCTGCTCCAGGGGCTCTGCCCAGCCAGGGACCTCACGCCACGCAGTGACAATGTGAACAGATGCAGAGGTGACAGCCACTGCCTCACCCCCACCTTCACCGGCTCTGAGGGTCTCCCCTCCGTGTGGAGGGTGCTGGAAAACAGGGTCCCAGTGGGCAAGGATGGAATTCAGATGTTCTCTGCATTTCTCCAGCTCAGGCACTTCCACGTCCAGCAGGGTCATCTTCTTCCACCCCGTTCTTTTTCTGAGTGTGACGATACACACGAGATGAGGCTTGAGGTTTGTTTTGTCTTTAATATTTTCTGTAAGAAGATAACCACCATCAAAACAAACATCAGATACTCCAAAGGATTTTCCTAGAACAAAATTGTGAAGCAAGGTGCTCTCCTGTGCTGATTCAGTTGTTACAATGGCAAGTACCAGCCTCGTTTAGCAGCCTCATGGAGCCTGTGCTGTTCGGGGCGCTCCGGGAGCTCCAGGGACTCCAGGCTGGAACCCTGTTCCAAACTGGACGCAGCCTGGGCACGAGAGAAGCTCCTGAAGCCTGGAGCAACACAACCCACACATGCACTAAGTACAGGCATCACTCCACAAACCCTCTTCACATCTTTCTGAGGAGTTTTAAAGGGTGAAAAAACTGTAGAAAAGCTAAAGCTTTTACAGAATCCCTAAATACATGACACTTTCTTAACTGATACAGAACATTTAAACAAACCTAAGAAGCTTTAATGTGCCCAAAAGCAGCTGCTGCTGCAGGAAACCAGCATTTTTTAAGACCTCCCACTCCCAAGTTCCTTGCACTTTTTGTTCACAAAGAGAACAAGAGAAGTCACACAAGTCCTGGGTTTTTCCTTTCTTTAAAACTGGTGACAAGAGACACCAACTATTAACTTTCTTGCTTTACTTATTTGTTGTTTTTACTTACACATCTCTTTCAGATCCCCATTCACAGCTTTGAGCACAAAGCCTCCAGGCACTGCTTCTTCTCTTAAGATTTCATTAAAAATACCCTTTTTCAAAGCCTGACTCAAGATTTGCCACTAAGTTTCATTTTAAAGCTCTTTCCCTTCATAAACTGTGTTTCTCCAAAGCTTCCGAATTGTGTAAGGTTCAAAATCACCACAAGGAAGATCTGAAAATGCCTTTCCATTTCCTTTCCTCCTTCAAGGTACATCAGTCAGACAGAAGGTGTTAGTACTACTTCCAGAGAAGTTTGCCTCATTTGAACTGCTGGCCTGCAACAGCTACAACAAAATACACCTTCCTGAAGTATTTCAGCACTTACTGAGCAATTCTTTCTTTTGGTCCTTCTGAGCCAGGGCCTGCAGGTCCTCCTGCAGCTGCAGCTCTTGCTGACAAGGCTCCACTTGTGCAGCAGCAGCAGCTCCCTGCTGGAGAGGACGCTGTCGTGATGTGAAACCTCATCTCCCTAAAAGCCTCCAAACAACAGCACGGTATTGCAGCACAGAGCTGAGGGTGCTGAACAACTCACTCAGCTTGGCCAGATCTACATTAGTCCTGGCAAAGGAAAACACGAGTGCCATGCGTGCAAATCCATCACTACAGCTCTTAATCCTACTGTCAGAATGGCCAGGAATTAGGGACGAAGGACTTGACAGCAACTGGCATCACATTTTACTTTATTCCCATGTATTCAGACACCTAAATCCTCCTGTCAAAGAAATCCCATCCAAATTCACTACTCAACACAAACTGAAGGTGAGAAAACTCCATCTAGCAGAGATAAAGAAAGCCTCCTGGCCTTAATAATTTCAAACTGGACAGAGGATGAAATGCAAACCAACTAAAACAAAAAACAAAACAAAGATTACCAAATATGTTTGAATGTGACCAAAACACACAAAATTCATTTACAAGCTGAATAGGAAGAAGTTTCCTATTCTCCTGGGATTGATTCTTGTTTTCTCTTGTCTCCAAATTTTAGCCATAGAGTATGGAGTAAAGAAAAATTTTATTTACACCCTATTCTCCAGAAACCTGAAAAACAACAACACAAAAGAAAAACAAAAATAAAAAAAAAAGAAGAAAAAAAAAGAAAAAAGAAAAAAGAAACCACATTTGAAAGGCAGATCCTCACCAGCAGCTGGTCCATCTCCTACAGGGACCATATTCTAGTGCACTTTTGGTGCACTTGCCTGAACCTGTCAGGGCACTCTATGTTAGCAGAAGAGATTTTTTGTGAGGGAGAGCAAGGGGAGAAAATAATGTTTTAAACACTTAAATCCATCACTGTGCCAGTTCCTGTGCAACAGGTCCTGTGACAGGATGGGAACTGAGGTGCTTGAAATTTAAAAGGTAAAGACACCAGCACAAGGTGTCATTTTGCTTTTTCAAGGAGTGATTTCAAATCACAAAGCCACCATCACCCTCCTACCACAACCTGAAAGCATCTTGATCGGTTTTCAAAAACACAAAGACACCTCAGAGTTCAGCAAGTTCTGCCAGGGCAGCCCTTGGTGCCCATCTCCATGTCTGTCACCCTTGCTTTCATCCTCAGCCACAGAATTCTTACTGTGGACAGGAAAATTGTTCCCATTTCTCTGTACTTCTCTGTACTTACCTTTGCTGTGCAGGACCCACGAGGAGGCTGTGATCCTGTCAGCTCAAGGCAGCTGGTGACACGGGCAGCACTTTGTAATATCTCCAGAATACAACTCTGAAACAGAAAATGCAACTTGTTCTTTTACATCCAAGATCTAATTATCTAATTAAAATCAGCAATTTGACTGGTATCTGATCAACTTCCAGGTAAAATGAACACCTGTTCTCAGGAACAGAGAAGGAAAGACATTCTCCCTTCAATGCTTCATACTACAGGTGCTGCTCTTACAAGAAGTATTCAGGTAGCAAAGACAATTTTCTCTTTTTGTCCAAGGTTTTGATACTTGAAATACTCAGGGTGGATGCTCCCAAACCTGAGAGCTCCTGGCATATGAGTTTCCCTCCTCTGAAGCACTGTTCGGTAACAAATGTGCTGGCTGGGGAATAGAGACCCCAAAAAGAAAAGCCCCACTGCAGGAGCAAAACCAGCACCCACGTGGGCTCCATGATGGCAGGAACCTGTTCCAGTTTCAGGGGATAAGGATGGGACTGGTTTAGACAAGCAATTTTCCCTCCACCATACACAAAGACACAAGCAATTTTTCCCCCTCCACACATACACAAACCAAGGAACAGATTTTCAAGAGGACCAAGACAGAGTCAGCTGTTCCTTTTTGTTTGGTACTTGAGATCTCAAAGCCATGCAAGCTTCTGTGGTTTGGGGTTTTTTGGACTTTTTCAAATTCTTACCTGGGAGCCCTCGTCACACAAAGGACTGTTGAAAAAGGAAAGAATGACTGGAAAATCCTCTGGTAGTCATAAAGCTCATAGCAATGTTTGTCATGCAGCCCTTCCCCAAGAAATCTGAGTATCCACTCATGCTCTGTTTTGTACTGGAAGCCACAAAGAAAAATACCACTACAGTTTAAAGAATACTGCTCCTAAAGCACAAAACCCTGGTTCCCTCTGAGTGCCAGCTCAGGGCTTACCACAGCTTGTTCTGACTTCTCCATTTCCACTCCTATCAAATTTAATCACTAACAGTGATTGGGAACAGTCAGTCTGCAGCCCAACATGCACTGGAAATGGAATTTTAGAAGTTGCTGTTTCTGAAATACTTCTGTTGAACTCAAAGTTAGTAATCTAAACTCAAAGAGGAATTGTAGCTAGCCAGGGCAGGTATTCTGTTTCTTGTGCTCACAGAGCATACACAGCACAACTCATTGCCGTTAATATTAAGCAAACAACAGAAAACCCATGGAAATAACATTTTTAATTCCAATATGAAACATAAGAAAGATGCTTCTAATTAACTACCTGTGGGAGAATGAGATTTCATGTATTTTTAATGGCTGTTTAAATACATTTCTGAAGAATTACTGGATACCTAAAATGAGACTCTTACCTCAAAAATCAAAACTCTAGAAAAGCTGGGAAAAGAACCTGGTACCTTCCTCAGGTCCAAATCCTGGGTGTGACAGAGGGAATCTCTTTAACTTTATGTAAATGTGCTCCTCTGCAAAGAGAGAAAGCTGGCATTGTGGAGGAGGACAGTGCTCCCAATCCACAAGCACGGACGACAATTCGTGGAAGCTGCAGCGAGTGTGCAGCGCTCCAAGCTGGGAGAACAGCCCAGCAACCGCAGAAGGAACTTTGCTCTGAGGCTCATTCCGACTGCCGCCCACCCTCCCCTTCTCTTGCCCAGCAGGAAAAGCTCGTTCAAGAGTGCACGAGCACAGAGCAGGCGAGGAGATCAACACTCCCCAAGGCTCTGTTTTTCACACCCAGCAGTGACACACGCAGCAAGTTCCAGTACCTGCTTCAGGATCTGCTGTGCCACACCAGCAGCGTAGGAGGGTCAGGGAGAAGGTGAACCTGAGGCTTGGCTGCCTGATTCTGTTCGGCACAGCACCCAAGAGATACAACAACTGCAGGAGCCCAGGGAGAGGAGGCTGAAGCACAGCCCAAATTAACATAGCAGGAGCGCAAAGACATCGATCAGCTTCTGGGACATTTCACAGCTCATACAGGGAAGTGCCCTAATTCAGCAACTTGGAGGTTTGGCCATTGTCAGGATCAAAACACCCAGAAACAGAAAAAGACACTGAACTGAAGCCGCCTAAAAGCCGTCCCTGCCGAAGACTCCTTCAAACAACTTGCTCACGAGAGGCAGGGATTGATTCAATACTCACCAGCCCATCTGGCCGAGGTCAGAGCTCTCTGCCCACCGAGGACACAGCAACCAGCAGGCGACCCTTCTCCCAATATCCAGCACGGACCCTGTTGAAGCCAGAGAGTTTACAGAGCAGAAATAGCCAGAAGATGCTCTCTGCTTCCACACATTCTCTGATCCATCATTCCAAAAGGAAAGTCCCCACGGATCAGAAGCAACCACCTCTCATTTTTCCTCCAGAATCACCACACTGCTTTGCCTTGCTGTGCAAGTGTTTCCTCCCGTGCCCATCCAGTCCATCTTTTCTTCCCCACTGCAGCTCTCCAGCACAAATGCCGCTTCTCATACACACTAAGCAAACAGTCATCTGCTTCAGGTTTTGGCTTAGAAAGTAAAAGCTTTAGTGCGTCCGGCTACGCGATTAAAACACATAAGTGCGTGGGTGGTCATAGATGGAAAGCTTTTCAGGAGAGAAAAGAGCTGATTCGATAGGACACCTCCATACACCTTCAGAAAAATCAGAATTCATAGCAACTCCTAAGACCCCTGCTGAGGGACCCAGCCCTCCTGGGGCATCCAATGCAGCAGCCATAGGAAAAGGATGGGAAAAGCCAAGCCCGGAGTGAAGGAAAAGATGACATCAATACAGCAGCCTGTAAAAAGCCTTCACACAGCAACAGTGGGAACCAGTCCCATTTGCTCCGTCCTTGCTTTTTGGGATGACATGAACAGGAAATAAAAACTAACGAAACACGAGGCAGACCTAGGGTGTACCAGGTGTTCGTTTTGGCAGCGTGGATGACAAACGTCGCTTCGCGCATGAACAGGCAGCCCGGTTTCAATCCATCCTTAGCCCAAAGCCTTCCTCGCCTCCCATTCCCCAGCGCTCTGCTCACGGCTTTGGAGCTCTCGCTCTTCCGCCCGCAGCAGCAGGGCACCGGAACGCAGCGAGGCAAAGCGGGCCGGAGCCGCCCATCCTGCGTACCTGTCAGCTCACGGCGGCGGGCACCTATGCTCCTGCGGGCCAAGGAGACGGCTCGGACACCTCCAGCGCCGGTTCCGCCCCGATGCTTCCGTGTTCTCCTGCATTTCCATGCACCGGACCGGGACCGGGAGGCGGGGGGCTTGTGCGAGAGTGGAGACGGCGGAGAAGCACGGGGAGGCGGCGGGAACGCGCCGGGACGAGCCAGGGACGCGGCGGGATGGGGACGGCTCACTTGACCTTCCAAGGAGGGCGGCAGCAGGGGCGGGCAAAGCAGGGCCCCGCTCCCGCCCCGCACGCCGCCCCGGCGGGATTTTTCGGCACGCGGCCGCTCCCGGCGTCTTGAGAAGGCTGCGCGGGGGCCGGGAAAGGGGGCGCAGCCCTGCTCCGACGCCGCTCGCCCTCGGCCCGTGAGCGCTGCGACCGCGCCTTCGCCGCCCGCCGACACCGGCCCCGCCGGGCCGCCCTCGCCGCTGCCATCCTTCTCCAGCGCCGCCGCTGAGCCGCCTTCACCCCTCCCCTGTACTCACAGACACCGCCCCGCTTGCCGCTCGCTCCCGCCCCTTGCCCTTCCCACCCCGGCACCCAGCGGCGAGGGGCAGGGCGCTGGCTGGAGGGGCTGCAGTACTGCCGTCTGTCCACAAGGCGGCAGCACTGCCGCCCGCCACAGCCGGAGGCCACCGCTCGTCCGGAGGGGAGGCAGGCGGGAAAAGAGTGGGGGCGATCCTCTTGGAAAAATCCTCCGAAATAAATGGGCCAAAAAACCCCGCACAGAAACTAAAAAACACTGCCTCGAACCAAATAACACCGCTCACCAAAAAGCCCTTTCTTTTTAACCTATATATATATTTACGTTGGTTTTGTTTATTTCTAGCTGTACGGCAGGGAGGCGGTGGGAGGGGACGGGACGAGCGCCCAGCGCGGCACGGCAGAGGCAGGGGCCGCGCCCAGAATGGCGGCCGCTGCAGAAGCTGGGCAGAGAGAGGCGAATCTGCCGATGCCGGTCGGCACGTGCTCGAAATCTGACCGCCCGCGGAGCCACTGAGCCCACAGCCCGTGTGCACGGCACTGGAACCGCCGCGAAAAATCCCGCCGGGCTACGCCGGCGTAAGGGTGGTGTTCAAGCAGTGCAGTCGACAGACACGGCTCCTGGAGTTTCACGTCCTTTTTTTTTTTTTTTTTTTGCGCCCTCTTGAGAAGGTCAAGCGAGTCCGCGACAAGCCACTCCCAAGATGGCGGCCGCGGGCGGCGGGCTGCAGTACCGCCCTTTGCCCACAGGGCGGCAGCACTGCCGCCCGCCACCGCCGGGGGCCGCCGCTCGCCTCGGGGCCGCGGGCGGGGCCGGCGGCAGAAAAGAACGGGCGCGATGCCCTCCGGAACCTGCCCTGCAGCAAATGCCCCAAAACATCCCGCGCGGAAAAGAACGCCAACAAAATAAAAACCCTGCCTCTAACGCAATAAGAACCAAGAGAAAAGAACTTTTCTTTTAAACTGTACTCCGATATATATTATTTTAAATTTTTTCATATTTATATTCACATTCGGAATTATAATGTATATGGAGGTATAACGAAAATACTTCATGCTAATAGTTATGTTTACTTACATTTAAAATTTTCTATCTCTTAATGTATTTATGATATATTTCTATACATCGATTTCTAATTTTTTTTATATTTAAAATTTTTATAAAATCCCTACCTCCTAACAAATACAAAATAAAAATCTCCTTTAGTTTAAACTATAGTTAAATATGTCTATATTTATATTTTTGACACTTACAAGTTCTTATATATTATGTTACAATATATTGATATACTACATATTTATATATATCATGTACTATATATTTATATATTTAGATATATAATATATACGAAGTATAATGTGCTGTAATAGGACATATTCAGTATAATATGTATTATGTATTGCATCGATTTCAATGATTTTGTAAATTTTACATTTATATAGCTACATCTATTAAGTATATGTTTCTAAATTGATGTTTTCTATGGACTTTGTTTATATTTATAATCCATATTTATAAATACATAAAATACTCTATATCACACATTATAATATCTTAGAGTAATATATAATATTATTTATGTTACATGTTTAATTTACATGTATCTGTTTATATTTAAAAATGAAGTTTTATTTATATGTATTCTGTTTATATTTAAAATTGACGTTTTCTACTCCCATTTTCATATTTATATACGTTTTGTTTAGTTATATGCATTATGAACTGTATTTATTTCTATTATTTTGTAATTTTTATATTTATATATCCACACGTATTAATTATACATGTCTATATTGATTTTTATATGGATTTTGTTTATATTTATAATCTATATTTATATGTATTTATAAAAACAAATAAAATACTCTATACCAAACAATATAATATCTAATAGTAATGGATAACATTATTTATGTTACATATTTTATTTATATGTATTCCGTTTACATTTAAAATTGAAATTTTATATTCCCATTTTCATATTTATGCATTTCTTTTGTTCCATTAGAGTTATAGTTAAAACTTTGCAGTTATAATCCAATTCCTAAAAATAAAATGCCAAAACAGCATCGAATTCCCAACAATACCATCCAAAAAATTCAGAAAGGCTCCACCAGCCAACCAAGTACCAGCAGAAAAACCCGCACTACACTCCTTTCACTAACAGTTCTTATCACATCACTAAAAGGAAACATTTATTTAAAAAAAAACTATAGAAACCCACACAGCAAAACACAAAAAACACTAAAAAGAAAAAAAACCCTCCAACTAACTTCCTATACGCCAAACCATACAACAGACCCCGAACGTTTCTTAAAAAAAAAACCCACAAAACTCTACCACTACACTAACTCATAAAGAGAACCCAATACTCTATAAAATTAACTAACCTCCCCCAAATAATAACAGATATAAAAATATCGAAACCACGAAGAACCAAAAAATTCACCACCCAAATAAAATAACTACCTATAAAGATCCACCACAGAAATACCCATGTTCCCAAAAATAAAACTAATAAAAAACCAACAAATACATCCAACTACAAAAAAAAATTATATTCACAACAACAAAATAATAATTCCTAACTCAAAAAGCCCATAATGCCTCACACCATCAAAACACAAATACTACCTAGAAATAAACACGTCGCCAAAAGAGAAATGTAGCCATAAACAATATCTCCCAAATTCTCTGCGACAATAAAACATACACGGCAATCAAATAAGACAAACGAATAAAACCCCTATAATATAATAAGCAAGAATGCAATTATCAATATTTTAAAAAACTCACTAATTAACTACAGGACACTACCTCAAACCAACCAAAATAAACCACTACATACTCACGCTAATAAAAAGCCTCCACAACCGAATTAAAAACCTACCCTCTACTTCATGCTACGACCCATAAAAACCATGGTAAACCGATCAAAAAGAAATCCAACAACACTCAATCAAAAAAAACCCTTGTCATCAACAGCTGAAGCAAGAACCGTAACAACCAAGAAGTACACCACGGCCCTTCTCATACACCAGCTACGAACAAAAGAAAACGATCCCATAAATTCCTCAAAACCACCTCAAGCCACCACAGCAAGGAACTCTGGAAAATGAAAACCCGCGCTCCCAGTGGAGCGCGGCTCCCGGCAGGAAAGCGGCTCCTCGGGCAGGCAGAGGCGGCGCCGCGCCGGGAGACCCCCGCCCGCTCCCCCCGGCCCGGCGGGGCCGGCACCGGGCCCGGGGGGCCCCGGCGGCGCCCGAGCCCCGCGCCCGGAGCGGACGGAGCGGCGGCACCGGCCGGCACTGGCACAGCGCCCGCGCCGCCTGCCCCGCCCGCCGGCCCGGCCAAAGCTCCCCTCGGCTCCGCACGGCTCGCACCGGCGCGGCTCCGGCAGTCCCGCGGCAGCCCCGCCGCGCCAAACTCCCCTCCCGCCTCGGCCATCCCCAGCCACTGCCAGCGGGGCTCCCGCGCCGGACCCTTCGCTGCCGGGCCAGGGGCAGAAGAAGCGCCCCAAATGCAGCGGCACAGCCCCATGCCCACCCTGCCAGCGCTGCCACAGCTGCGCCTCCCTTCCTTTGAAGCCCCGAAATTGACGCCACGCTCAGGCGCTCACCTGACTTCAACAAGGGCAAAGAAATGTGGGCTGCCCTTCAATTTCATCCCCTAGAAGAGCAGAAAAGAAGGGACTTTCCTCAAATGAAATCCTTCAAATGGTGGGAATTTTTAAAATCAGAGGGTTTTGGGAAAGCTGCAACAGGCAGGTCTCAGAAACAGCAGAACTGCGATTAGAGTTAAGCAGTAGACATAAGATTTGTCAGCAGAAAAATGATATAAGAGGCAGTAGTTAACTACAAATAGAGCAATGGTCTGTATATTAATGCTTGTCTAGAATAACTCCCTAAGCTACAGAAAAGTATATCTAGTGAGATATTAGCAAGTTCTAAGCTTAAGAATGGAGCTCCGTGCACTGTGTTTTAATGCTTACAAGCAGGTATTGTATTCGAAATAAGCGAGCATTGTTTTAACCAAAGGTACGTGTGCTTAGAGTGGTTGGATAGAACTAGTGTCAATATGCTTTTGCTCCGTGTGACTGGTCAAAAGACTTGAAATTCTAACATTAAGTTCTTTGTCTGCTGCCGGGGATCTGAGCTGCTGTCACCTTCCCATTGTCATAACCATGTAATGAGAGTGATGTAAGAAAATGAAACAGCTCGAGATGTGTTCCTCAGCAGTCCCGTCCTCTTCGTTATTTGTACAGTCCCCCGGCCAGCGATACAAATGATGGGAAAAGGGGATTTTTACCTCAATCCAAACCCTTTAAAATGAGGGACAACAGGACAACCCCTCCATTTCAAACTCAGGATGATGAAAATGGTATGTGTGGGGGGGTTACCCTCAAATCAAATCCATCATACGACAACAATATTTCCCCCCTTCCTTTTAAAAGAGAACACAGGGATTCCCTATATCCCCTGTGACGTCCCTAACACCCTGGAAAAGGCAGGTTTTCCTTCAGTCAATACCCTCAAAACCACAAGTGAAGGGGGATCTCTCCCAGTTCAAACACAGACAATAATGGAGGAGGAGTTGCTTCCCTCATTTTAAATTTCTCTCGTCCTCATAACCCCTATTTTTTTTTTCTGTGTGCACCGGGGAGGGATTGGCAAGACGAAATTTAAAAGGGAAAGGAGAAAAGTCCCCACTACAAAGGTGCACAGTCTCACGTGTTTGGCCGCTGCTTCTCGGCACAAAGGTTTGTCCCTCGGCTCCTCCTTCGAGCAATGCTCCACGTCCCCTAGTGCGTATCCAGGTGATCCCCCGGACCCTGTCCGAAGCGCTCACCGTCTTTCCATGAGACAGCCCCGGGAGCCCCCCATAAACTCCTCTTCTCCAGCAGCTCTGTGCAAAAACCAGCGGCGGCAAACCCTCGCCCTAAAACAACCTCCCCCCGGCAGGAGCCGCTCCTCATCCTCACAGCTCACACCTGGGGCTGCTCTGAGCCCTCCTCATCCTCACAGCTCACACCTGGGGCTGCTCTGAGCCCTCCTCACAGCTCACACCTGGCGCTGCTCTGGGTTTCTTTCCAAATGACTTTAGCGATAGATTCCTATTCTTTACCAAGGGCTGTGAAAACTAAACACTTGCCAGGTTTTAGTATTCTACACACACCCCTCCCTGGGAATTTTGGGGCAGCTTTGGGTCCCTCTGCGGGACGGCACCCAGCCTGACCCCCCCCTCATTCGCCACCCACCCGCTCCCCCACCGCAGTGTGCCTCCCTCTCCTAGGGACCTCGGGGTGCCCCAAATGACAGCAGAGCCCCGAGTCTTCAGCCCCTTTTCCTGACCCCCAAAGAAGGCACAGGACGACTCCAACTGCCCTGAACAGCAGCCCAGCACTCCCTTCCAGCCCTTTCCACATGTCCATTCCCCCCCGAGAGGGACTCTGCCGCAACAAGAAAGGGGGAGCAGCCCCCAGAAGGGTTGAAGTTCCTGCCCAGCCTCGCTGTCACAGGCCAGGGGCAGAAAGAGGGAATAGGAACAGAGAGGACACAGGAAGAACGGGTTCTTAAGAACGGGGTGCAGGATGAAATTGAGAAAAAAAAATTAAAAAACCAAACGCCAAAAAGAACACCAAAAAAAACACCCCAAAAAAAACACACAAAAAAAACCCCCCAACCAAACAAAAACCACCAAACTGGGTTGTGCAGCACGACAGAGAGGGATTAAAAAAGAACCGGAACAGGACAGAAAGAGCCCCTGAGGAACATTGACATAAGGAGCACCACAGAACCACAGAGAATAAAAAGGAACACAAGTGAGACATGGAGAAGGACAGAGAAAAATACACAGTGCCAAACACACGGCTAGGACAGAGGGATATAGAGACACAGAGGGAAACAAGGACCCAGATGGGAAAAAATCACAGCACATGCTGGTGGCAAGATTCTTCTCCTCCAGTCACTACACAAGGGCAGCTTCCCTGCAATTTCATGATCAGCGTCTCTTCCAAGTTCAACAGGTGAAGAAACAGGTACTCCCAACATCTCCTTCCTTTGGCCAGCACAGACCCACTAGGAGAACTGGAATCCAAGGATGGATCTAAACATGGGAATCCCACTTGCTACTGTCTCCACCTTTTCCCCAGCTTAGCCCTGGGCTGGGAAACAAAAGACAACAGACACTTAAAAACCAAACTTGAAGTGTCTTGAGGATGCCCAGACCTGGGAGAAAGCCCTTCCCACAACCCTCTTGGCCTTTTCCCACTCTGAGGAACTTTGGAAATGCCCATCCACACCCGGGATGGACAGCCTGGGATGTTTTCTGCACAACGACACAGCCCCGAGCACCAGAAGCGTGGAGATGCCCTGGATTGCAATTCACAGCCTCAGTGAATCCTACATGGGAGAGCCAAGTAATTTTTGACCAGAGGAAATACAAGTCACTGTTTTTAATAGTTAAAATACCCGTGGAAGTTACTGGCTGCTTACAGCAGTGAGCTTCATACGGCCTCCCACACTTAGGGATTTATCAGAAGAAGCAGTTTCAGGTTCCTTCCTTTTGGGGCCCAGCTCCAAACGGGAAACTTCTCACGACTGCTCCTGAGAGAGGCAAGTGGAACTTCAGGAGCTCAGGAAAGCGACTCGCTTCCCTGAGTCATGTCTCACCTGCCCGAGCACCCACAATGCTTTTGTACCACCTCCCTCCCTGCTTTCTACCTTCATTTAAATGTGAAAAGCCTGCAAGCTCTGCCTCCAGCCCCAGCCGCATCTTCCCTGCGCCCCGGCACTGCCCCACCTGCTCAGGTGCTGGTCCCCGCTCTGCCGCCCCTCGCCCCGGGGCCGGGGCGGGAGAAAGTGCGGATTTCGTTTTCCCGGAGAGGCTCCCGGGCGGGCCCAGCCCCGCAGCGCCTCCCGGGCTTCGCGCAGCCCCCGCCGCCCGTTCCCACCCGGCGCTGCTCGGGGGCCGCCCCGCGCAGGGGCTTTCCCAGAGCCGCCGTCCTCCGCTCGTCTTCAACCTCGCTGTACCCACAGCAGTTCCCGCCCTCCTCCACTGTCGCTGCAACCCTCGCCCGTCGCTGCCGCAGCCAGGACCCGCACGGTCCCGCCGGGGTTACCGAGCGGCCCCGCCGGGGTTACCGCACCCGGCGCTCCCGAGCCGCTCCCGCGGCGCAGTGGAAGTGTCCGTGCCCGCGCGGGCGTCACGGCGGAGCGCTGGCGCCGACCGCCCGTCAGCCCTCACACGGGGAGCGCGAAGGTTTAGGACATTGAAGGCATTGAGGGAGCAAATGCCAGTCCAGAATAAATCATAAACAAGTTGCAAGAATTCTTCCAAGTTTCTCTCCAACCATTTTACATGTAAGTCCATTATTTCCACGCTTCCTTCTGGAAAAATGAAATTATTCCTCAGCCGTGGAGTGGTCCCAGTCCAGTCCGAGCACGTGAGGAAAAAACATCTGCTTCCTGTGTGCCAGGAAGAGCCTTTCTAGGTCAAAGAACTGAAAAAGACTTGGCGTAGTGCATTTTTCCCCCTGGAATAAGAGCACACACCTGGAATAAGGCAGACACGGCTTGTCAGGACACACTGCACTCTCTTCTCCAAACACAATCCTGGTCTCATTGCAAACTGCCTGTGCCATGTTGTTTTCTCCAGGACAAATTAAGGAATTCCTCCTGGCAGTTTGGAGATTATGTTATTACAAATGAAAGAAAGTAAAGAAGTATTCTCAGTAAAAGCCTTTGGGACCTCCTGGACTGAATTTAGAAGGAGACACTCATTCTCTGCAAGTGCAAATACACAATAACCTCCAACACAAAGCAAAGATGTCAAAAGAGGTCTAAAAGCACCAGTCTGACAAACCTCGTCATTCTTTTTTTCAGTGACTTTTGCAATCAAACTCTAAAGCTGACAACCACAACTGTCCCCGTGCTCCATCCAGCCACTCTGGAACAAAACAATATTCTCTGCCAAATCGACAATGGACAAGGGCAGAAGTCTCCTCTTCAGAAGCTCCTGGCCCGATCTGGAACTACAATGACATATTACATATAGTAGAAGAAACTCCATTTGAATGTTTAATTTAAGCAGAACCTAGGGAGAAGTGCTAGACAAGTGGTAACCACCTACTTGTTACCATAGTGGAGATGTTGACTGTAATTCCTACACCACCTCTCAGCATCCAAGCTTTAGCTCTAGGCCATCCAGAAGAGGAGCCAGATCTCTCCAATGGAAAGAATTTCTCACTTATTGAGTATGGAAATGGCTGAAGGTGGAATCTAGTGAAAAAAGGAATTCACAAGAAAGATCTAAGGCGAAACAGATCTCACCTTTATCAAATCCCATTAAAACCTGTAAATGCTTGCATGTCTTTGTGTGCATTCACAAGTGAAGAGAAATCCAAACACTAGAGATCATTAGCAGGAGCAGAAAGAAATCAAGGTACCGGTCTTCATTAGGACACATAAGATTAGTGCACAAGATACAAAGAAACAAAGTATTTATTGTTAAAAGCTCTTCGATGAATCACTCAGCATCATACAACGGTGGCTACAGAGCAGAGGGAGTCTCCCTCTCCCTTCCCTCTGTTCTTTATACATGTGTTTGCTCACTCTCACAAACCCACTGTTGTATTTTTTAAATGGAGTTCCTCTCTTCAGTGAGTTTGGAAAAGATGTTTATAATACAGGATCTGTCAGAACAGATATATCCTATTAAACAACAGAGCAGTTACAGAAAGGAGACCACTTTCTTCAGGAAAAGTCTTCTTTCCCTCCTTATCTCTTTGCATTGCCTTAAAAGAGCTCTCCACACAAAACCAGACCAACAACCCCCAAATACATGATTAGCATTTTGGCAAAATTAGGAGCTCAAGATATGCACCAATATAGATTTAAATACTAATATTTTCACCTGGCTTCCACAGGGTAAGTCCTAAACAATGTGGTGTAAAAAAACGGCCAGCTGAGACAATGTCTACACTACAGCTACCAACCCTGCTATGCCGAAAAACTGAATCCCTGCTGGTAACAGCGAAAATGCGACAGTGTGTCTCAAAGTTATTTGCAAAACTTTTGGTTCTGTCGTTGCCCCCCACTTTCTAGGCTACACACCGACTGCGACTGTCTCTCCCATGAGAGACACATGGTGTGTGTCCACATACACATGCACAGAGAAAGCACAGACTCACGTGGGCTGTGCTATTTCCAACAGTAATTTGCACCTTATCTTGTGCTGTGTCTTTCTGGTGCTTCAGTCATACTCTGCTCCATTTTAAAATTTCCTTTCCCACTGTTGTATTTTTCTCTTTATTCCACAACTGAACATTTGCTTCCTTTTCAATCTCTAAGAAACATTTGATCTGTTTCCTGCCTCATGGCCAACAACCCAGAAGATTAAAGAAACCTGTTTCTAACCTGCCATGTCCACACTTCTGCTCCAAGATACATTTCCCTCCTACTGGTACTCCAGAATTCCACTGAACTTTTTCCTAGTTTGATGCTGTATTTTCTAACAATCTATATTATCATCTATGCATGAACTACTTCTATGCACAGAATGTTTTTTTGCAGTATGCATAGATTTGTATGGTGGTAACTGAAGACCCCAAAACATCTTGCCATCTTTTATACACACGAAAAGACAACTATCCTGAACTTAAAATAAATTCCTCATTCACAGTCTGCCAAAATTACCTGCCTGTTCAGTGCCACCACCTTTCATTTTCAATGCTCAAGCAACACTTGGTCTAGTCACTTCCAGTATTGCTCCATTATTTATCTTCAAATAAAGTTTTTCTTTGTTTCGCAAACAAGCAAGCTCTTACCTGCACCTATGGAAAAAAGGACAAAATTTTTCTCTTTCTGATTCAGTGAAAAGACATGAACAGTTCCTGAACACAGGAAAAAGGCATCAGAATTTCAAATCTCAGTTTAACCAAAGGAAAGACATCTGACAGCTAGTCCTAAGACTCACTGGTATTGACCAGTCTGTTTTCATAGACAGTGAAATACAAGAATTTAGATTCTGGACTGCTATCTCCAGTGCCATCTTCAGTGGCTGATTCATGCACACACCCATTTCAGTATAACACTGCTGCTTGACAGAGCTTCAGCTTTCAGTGATGCAGTTGTGAACACTGGCACCAACACCATATTAATTTTGTTAATTTGCTCTGAAAGAGACTTGGAACCAGATCCATCCAATTAATTCTACAGAGGCTCTAAAACCAGGCTGGACTCCAGTATGCTGTCAGCTGTGGTAAATGGCCGGTATTGCTCTCAAATATCTGCCATTTCAGCAGGAAGGCTCTCAAACCCCAGAATTCCCAGGCAGACATTCTGCAGGAATCTATCTCAGTCCTGTGCCCTTCTCATATCCTTGGTATTTTTCTCTGCATTTCTTATTCCCGCAGACTGAGCATATCCCTGAATGTAGCCGCTGTTTGCCACATACAGACAAGAGTTTTATACATCAAGCAGCATGCACACAACGGACACAGCAGCATAAAAAATATGGAAGCACAGCAGCAGATGACCCCCACTGCTTTTTTCTCATAATGCTTGCTTGTAGTCCAATTTGCTGAGTTCTAAATTAAGTAATGTTTCAAGTCCATCACTGTGGCAGCCTCATAGTCCCTCAGTATAACCAGTTTAAGACTGCAGGATTTCACATTTTACTGTGAAAAGAGGCGTTAACACAAAAGGGAAAAATGCCGAATCAAGCCATTCCCAGTAAAAGGCCTCAGACCATGAAGTACTGCCGTACTTTTTCTCACACCAACAGGTTTTGTGGGAGAGTACTGCCATCACGTAAATTCAATCAAAAGTAAATTTTCCAAGACATCTCTGAACACAATGGATGGATTAAAAGCTATGGCACTATTAATGTGAAGACAAAGATATTAAATAAAGGGGTAAAGAGAAGACTATCTCTTCTGTGACTGAAGAGAAGAAACTTTTAAGTCAAACTAAGAGAGAAATTGGCAAAGACAGCAGAAAACACATCACTAGAGAAAAAATGCATTTATTCAGAAGAGCTGCCTTCCTTCCATACCACATGTGAATTTGATTCTTTTTCCAAGGAAGTGTAAGAAAGGAGGTGAAAAGGATCCTAGAGGAGGATCTTGAGTGCCACATCAAATGGACAGTTATACTTTGGCAGCTGCTTTTTGGAGGAGAAATTATATTGGGCCTTTATTACACCTCATCTGTGCACTACAAAAAATGAGGATTCAAGGAAGATGTCCCTGCTTCCAAGTAATTGTTCTGTAAATTCCCATTATCTGAATTTGCCATACATTTACAAAGATGATTTCCAAGGGATATGTTCTCTGTGCTATTTAAGGCTGACAGTGCTTTATAACTCAACAGTATCCAAAATAACCAGCATGTATCATGTATGGGAGAGCTAAGTAATTCATAGTAAGAGGCAATTCACCTATGGTCAAAATGTGAGACCAATCCAGGGACTCTGTTAACATCTTGAAGTAAAGAAAAAACTACCATGTGACATTAAGTTAAGCTTCTTGGATTCTACACCAAGAATTAGGAAGTTATTTTCAGTGATGAACCCTACAGGCACACAGAGAAACATTTAAATAATCTGGTATTTTACATATATACTTATTGTTAATATCTGCTGTGTTAAAGGCAGGCATCAGCAAAGCACTATGACGTTATTTTAGCTTTCTCAGAATGCCTCATTTGTTGCTAATACCACTGATATTAAGGATGCGTAAGAAGCTCTTATCCCAGGAATGATTCTCTTTCTCTCAGTACAGTGTACAGATCATACCCATCTAGTGAGACGTGATTCAATCTACCTTTCACTGCCAGGACAAGGGGAAGAGAAATTATTTGCATCTGCAGAAGAGATGGCCTGACTATATGTCTTTCTTCCAGATGGGCTCTACATTCCAGGATGTAAATGCTCCTAGCTTGTTCTTTCAGATGGTGAGACAGCTTCTTGCATTGGTCTGGCTGAAATAAAAACTCTATTCAGGAATATAAAGCATTCCACAGCTATAAGAAAGACTATCTTGTCTAATTCCAGATAAGTTATTGTTTGAGACTCTTGGGTACCACAGGGCAAGAGTTGCATTTATTTCTCTAAATCCGTAGTCTCCTAGAACACCTATCTCAACCTCCGCCATCGGTGCCACCATGATTCTAAGCATAGCCCATTAGGATTTGCTGTGTAGTGTCTAACTTTCCACTAAAACTTAACAATGTGCGTTGATGAGTGAATCTTTAGTCTTCTTTCACACTGACACTTGTATGGTGCTGTCTCTGGCTTGGAATGGTTTGACACCCATCCTGGGTGTCAAGGGTCACTCTAAAGCTGGTGTTCTGACTGGTGTGTTGATGGCACGTTCTCATCCAGTCAGGAAGCAGGTCCATGTGTAACAGTGAGCTAAGTAACACTGAGAAGTCCACTGGTTTGGTGGTCATGATGCCAATGGAATTTTGTGAGCAGTACTTATGTGTTACGCACTCCCAAAGATTGTTCCAATTCCTGTCGGCGCTGCTGGATCTGAAATAAAAAGACACACCGTACAGTTCAGCAGATTAAATTGCTCACTGGCAAGTGATGCATTTATAAGTCAGCACTGTGGATATTTCTTTCATACCTTGCAGTAGAAATATCTGCTCACAGCTTCCTGAGACCAAGGCTCGTGATAAAATTCAGCTCTGCGTTCTTCCTCCGGGTTTCCAACCACATCAGTCATCACCTGTGACAAAATAAAACAATTTTTCACCATAGCTCTTCTACTACATAGAGAAACTTTCAGATTTACCCAGGGTGAAAATTTGTCTACATTACACATAAAAATGATCAGAACTGTTCTCAAAGCCCAAAGCAAATGGACAGTGTGTGCTTACTGCCAAAACAGGATCATAGAATGATCAAATGGCTTGTGTTGAAAGGGACCTTTAAGCTCCTCTCATTCCACCCCCCCTGCCATGGGCAGCGACACCTTCCACTAGATCAGGTGCTCCAAGCCCTGTCCAGTCTGCCTCCAGGGATAGGGCAGCAGGGGGTTGAAGCCATTCTACAAAAATAGAGTTCTGATCACTATGTCTTCAGCATCACATAATCACAAGTAAATATAGTTACTGGTATGTTTTGCAAAGCAGTGTTATGAAATCAGAACTCTGATGCCAGCAGGGCACAACCTTAATAGAAAAGGCTCTTATGGGACTCGTTCTCAGTCAGGGAAAGCTCTGAACAACTATTCCATGTATATAGCTAGAGAAGCTCCACAGCACCTCTGTTTCTAAGTTCCTTAAGTCAAAGTCTGCTTTATCTAAACATGCTTTCAGATGCCTGTCCCCTTTGAATACAATATAAATTGTAATAACCATAATCTTAAGAGTAGATTTTGGAAAGACTATTCAGTTAAAAAAAAGGCATTTATATAAGAAAGACACAATGATTTTATTAAAATAAATTAATGGATTCAATAATACAACTGATTTTGAGGCATGTCAGTTAAAGACAGAAAATGTGAAACCATGAGGAACAAATTATTAATTTTTGCTGTCAAACAACTGAACTTCTTTACATTTGATTTCTTGCATATTTCAAAGATAAGCTCAAGGACAGCTGATAGGATTAAACTATAAACCAACACCCAAATTGTGTTCTCGTACTATAGGATGCTCCTGCTGAGTTTTACACAGCTTTGAGTTTACAGGATACATCAACAAAGCCCTGCATTTTGAACTTACTGTCTGGCCACAAATTGACCCATGAAACACCACTGTTCCACTGGAACTAGAATACAACCTAAACTATCTTTCCCCAGGCTAAACTATCTTTCCTTTCCTAAACTATCTTTCCTATCTACTCTGGGATTGCAGTAGTCCACTCATTGTCTGCCTTCCACCAATCATCCATCCTAGATGTTTGGCTATACACTCTATGCATATTTAGATACAATTCTTCCATTCTGGTTCCACTAAGATTTTTCAATGGATTTTTCAAATCTTAGCTCACCTTAAGATCCCTACTTTGGGACCGGAGAAGGTCTTGGATGTATCCTTTGGGATCCTTGGAGAAACTCAGCATAAAATCACGTTGTATTTTCAGCTGATTAATGGATTCAATTGTCTCATGAATCTGACAGAAAACAACCAAAGTGGATATTCTTTAATTTCTCCCATGCTCTGGTGACCATCAGGTCAGCTCTCATACTGTCTTTGTATTCCTGGTAATGTACAAAGGTGACAATTGTACACCACAGACTTATGCAGCCCTTCCTAGGGCTTTTTCAATTCAAAAAGCAGCAACTTAACTGCAATCCTACCACTACATTCTGGTCTCACTTGTACTTCTGCAATACAAGTATGTACAGGATTCTCCTTCACTTCCTGCACTGAACTCCTGCATGGCATGCAGAACTAAGCCATGTCACTGCACAATGTAATAATTTCCTGTGTAGAATCACTCTGCCTGCCAAGACTGGCATCTTTGAGAAAGGTGCTACATAAATATGCAGTTAAGTAGTGCCCAGTGCAAGAAAGCAGTTATTCCCCTGGTTACCATCATGATCACATCTTCAATATCCTACTGTAACCCTTAAAAACTCTAGCAGTTTCCTGATCAAGCCCATGTCAAATGAACAGCCATGACTTCTAGATTTTTCTTAAGAGAAAGCCTGTAAATGTCATGATGGCTGCAAAAAAGAAGAGAGTGAATAATGAGAAATCACGAGTACGGAAGGTTTACAGAAAATTAATTATATCTTTAGAACTATTATGGCAGAAATATTAACTAGTGGGGAAGAATGAAGACAGAAGAGGAGTCAAGGTCCTATAATGGATAGTCATCAAGTATGAATGGGAGAACAGCTCATGAATCATTTGCACATAGACACACACAAAAGCAAACTTTTGCTGCCCGGTCCCTCTAACATTCTAGTTTGAAATAGTAAACCTATCTTGTTTAGCTTCATGTATTCATCTCTTTTGTCAAATCAGCTAAGGTGACCAAGCACGTGGGAGAAAATAATCATCCCTTGACCTGGTTATGCCATCAAGGCCACTGGTGCAGCTACTACATGGTACATTAAGAGAAGAGAGCTGCTGTTAACTTTAAATCATTCCTTCTTTGGGAAAACACTGTAGTTGTGTGGGGTGAACTCCACTGGCGTGTGCCGAATTCCCAGGAGGGGACTCCATGGAAGCACAGCAATGTAATGCACAGAGGGTAACAGGAGCAGCCCATTCCCATTCACCCAGCAGTGACTTCAGCAACTTCACTGATCACAGCTTGCCCTGTGCTGTAGCAAATATTCAAGAAAGAGGTGACACAGACAGGGGAAAAGGTGAGCGGGACTGGAAACAGAATAATCCTATGCATGCTGCTTGCACGCTTATCTAGGCTGGGAAGCAACTGACTGAGCAGCTGAAAAGAACCCTCCTCAAGAGCCATGACAGCAAAGACACTGCAACAGTTACCAGAATCCACTGCACTGCTGGTGCCCAGACCCCCTCTAAAACTTCATGAAGACCAGAGTTTAACACATTTGTTTGTATTAGCAGTAAACAAAGAGAACCTGGGCCTTGCTCTGAGAAGGAATTTTTGTTTATCCTTTACCCATCCAAATCAGCCAGTGGCACATGCCAGAACTGGCTAACAGCCCCTAGGACACAAATCCCTAAAACAGCCCGTGAAACCCACCACTGCCTTAAGACAGATACTATTATTTGAACTGCACATGATCCTCTTCCACTAACACTTAGAACTGCAGAAGTGGTCCAAGTGATTTTCCTGCCATGCATGTTCCCTATTTCCACTTAACGCAGAGAGCCATTCTACAGTTATGAACACAAACCCCACACCTGCGTATGAGATTCTCCTAGCTTTGGCTTAGCAATTTAGCAAGTATCATGACCTCTCAATAAAAAGTTAATCATACAGTTCAGGTGGTTCTCAAGCATCAGGGGACTCAGTACACTACCTGTGAAACTCTATCATCTCAACAACCATGTCAGGCCTTGGATCAAATTCTTAGTGGGAATGCCATTCACCCTGATGCATTCCTACAGCATTTGGCTTATTCATCCCTTGAAAGCACATGCCCTTAACAAGTCCCCATCTCACAATATTACTGTCTGACACATGACACCAAACACACGTCAAGCTACGCAACAAGTACATGTACGATGGGATACTTTACTCTTGAGTTAATACCTTGTTATCCAATGCTGTTATCTCCTGTTGGTTAGCTGTTGAGAGAAGAAAACTACTCATCTGGCCCTTTAATGGGTCTTCAACTTCTACATCTATGTCATAACAAGCCGTCTTCTTCTGATCGTTGGGGTCAACACTATGGAGATATAACACAAGATCATGAAAACTGCCATAATGAATCAGAATTAATTTCCAACCAGCCCAGAATTCACTCTTCAATAAAGCCTGTTGCAGATGCTGTGGAAAAAAAGTGTAAGAACAGGGTATCTTTATATGTTTTCCTATTTTAGTATATTCTCTCATCTTTTGACAGTCAGATTCCAAAGACTTTTGAGCTGGAGCTTTTGCCCAGACCATCAAATATTATTTCTAACATCCTCTGAGACCTGATACACTAAATGCCAGTATCATTCTTTGGCTTGTCCTGTCCTAAATTTATCTTTAGTTTGCCAACTTTTAGACTTAACATTTATTTTATTGTTAGTCTAAAGTTTCTTAACAAGAAAACAGTCTTCAGCGCAGTAGTTGGTAAATCAGACTTCAATCACTGTCACTTGCAATATAAAGATGCTAGATTCTCAACCCTACATGTCAAATGTGTGGGTTGTGTGCATCTGCAGTAGGTAGCAAAGAAAAATTGCTAAGGATCTAATTGAGCTTGACCGACTTGGGGGAGCGGAAGAACTTCCAGGGATGGAATTGCATTAGGAGCGTTATAAGCAGGTGGAGGAAGGTGATCCTTCTCTGCTCTCAAGACCGATGAGAACACCTCTAGTACTGCATTCAGTGCTGGGCTCCCCAGTGCAAGAGAGATATATGGAGCTACTATATATAGAGAGAGAGAATTTTGCAAAGGTCTGTGAAGATGATTAAGGCATTAAAGCACCTCACAGTTGAGAAAGGCTGAGAGGTCTGAGACTATTCAGCCTAGAAAACAGAAGGCTGGTGGGGAGGGAACTTACCTAAACCTGAAGGGAGGGTTTAAAGAAGATAGAGCCACGATCTTTTCAGTGGTACCCAGTGACAGGACAAGAGGCAGTTGGTACAAACTGAAACACAGGAGGCTCCTTCTGAACCAGGAAACATGTTTTTACTGTAAGGATGACCGAGCAATAGCACAAGTTGCAGTAAGACCCTCAAAGCCCATCTGCCTTTCCCCCAGACCAGAGTCCCGTGTTAGAGACACTCCAAAGCCATCTGGACACGGCTGTGGCCAAACTGCTACAGGTGGCTCTGCTTGAGCAGGGGAGGACACTTGACCAAATGATTTCCAGAAGTCCCTTCCAACCTCAAACGTTCTGAGAATCTGTGATGTGTGGCTGCCAGCAAGAAGATGAGCAGCAGAAGGGAAGCTAAGGAAAAACCCAGGTCCAGGTCTGGTTCTGCCGCTCATGTCAAAAGCCACAGAGAAGGCTCCATGGTGTCCTTGGCTCCATTGGTCCTGGCTGAGTCCCGAGCCCAGGGCAGGCAGGGCAGCAGGGCTGTGCAGAGGGAGCCTGACAGGCTGCAGAAACAGGAAGGCACTTCAGCACAGTAAAGCTCAGCCCAGGAAAGCTCTACTGCTGGCAGAGAATCACACCACACAGAGGGACAGGCAGGCATCGCTGGGGTAGGAAACAGGTTGGCAGGAGAGGACTTGGGCGTCCTGAGGGACAGACAACAGTGCAGAAGGAGTCTGAGGGGTAAGGCAGCCATAGCCAAGGTCAGCAGCAAAAGGGGGCTCTATTAGCACAGGTTTTGCCATCCAGCCCAGGAAAGAGGCTCTTGTTTGCTACTCCACACTGGTGAAACTGGATCTGGATGGTGGGCACAGGAGCACAGAGATGTGACACCCTGGAGCGAGGCCCGCAGAGGCTCAGTAGGATGTTGGGGGCTGGAGCACAGACCTGCCAGGAGAAGCTGCAAGAGCTATAAGGAATTGGTTTCTAGAAAATCATGACAGTAGTCAAAAAGGGGGATGCCAGAGATAGCCTGTTTATACTAGAAGAATATTGGAGGGCTATGCTTTGCAGTCTGCTTGTGTTCTTTAATAGTGTGGAAGATGTCTTGTTTCTTTGCGGAAATGGAAATCACACAGAGGTTATTCTATTTACCTCTGATTCTAGGTGTGTCAGCTGCAATTAGGAGTGCAACTCAAGAAAATCTCCACTTGTAGCTTGAGCTCAGGTAAGATTTTACTTCTACCAGCATCTCTACTTTATGTCTACTTCAACCCCATTACATTGTTTCTTCTTTTTCTTCAAAAAGGAAGGTTGTTGGTGCCCAGAGAGTGATTCTGCAATACTATTAAAGTTTCTAGAATGAGTTTAGAATACTTCAAATTTCTATCCCTGTGCATATCCTCTAAAACTAGAATGACTAATTGTGATCTACTTGATCTTCCTGTAAAAGGCAGGCCTGAGGCATTATCTGGATAATGAGCACATACATTTACAATCACTAGTGATGAAAAATTCCCTGTGCTAGTGTGCTGTTTTTGACTGGGACAGAATTAATTTTCTCCATAGTAGCTGGTATGGGACTGTTTTGTGAATTTGTGGTGGAAACGGTTGGTCACACAGAGATATTTTTGTTATTGTTGATTGTTGCTTGCAGCCTGTTGAGACCTTTTCAGCTCCTCATACTTCCTGCCAGTGAGGAGGCTGGGGTGCACAAGGAGCTGGGAAGCGACACAGCTGGGACAGCTCACCCCAACTGACCAAAGGGATATTCCAAACCATGTGGTGCCATGCTGAGCAGTAAACTGGGGCAGGTGCTCACTGCTCAGGGTCTTGCTGGGCATCAGTCAGTTGGTGGTGAGCAATAGTTTTCATCTGTATCGCTCGTAGTGTTGGATTTTGTTCATCACCATCACCATCATCACACTGTTTTTCTCTCCCTTTTACCTTTTCAACGCATCCCCCTGCCCTGCTGGAGAGAGAATGATGGATGGATTAAGACTGGATTAAACGAGGACAGGCTGAAGATTGGATTAAACCAGGACAGGCAGTTGGCATACTGTTTCAGTGGCTCATTACATTCACTCTAAAAAACTGAATTCAGAGCGACGGGGGAGAGCATTTGCGAGACCCTGTTTTAAGCCTGGCTGGACCAGGCCCTTAAGTATCCTGGACAGACTTTGAGCCTGATTTGAGTTTGGATGGGGGAGCTCTCAATGACAACCAGTAATCCCTTCTATTCTGTGACTTTATGAGTCTAAAAATTACTTAGTTTCTTTAAATTCAGGAACAGACTTCCAGATTTATTTTAGCTTAGTTCAACACTGTAAAGACTTCACTGCAAAAGTACTACCTGTTCCCAGAAAATGAGTTCTTCCTTTGTCCACACCGTTACGCCAGTTCCATTTAAGATTGTCAGGTGCTGTGTGGTGCACAGAGCATATCAGGGAGTGCTGCTAGACACAAAGCTGTAGCTTCGTAACACACACCTGTTCTTTAGCTGGTACCTGACAAAAAACACCTCCTCCAGTACCTTTTTGTCATCTCTCTGCCCAGAAACATAATCATCAGTTCCTTGCCATTTTTTCTCTAAGCAATGACTATCTATCTCTGAGGAGCTCAGCTTTTTTGTGGTCCATCAGGCAGGTCACTGAGCTGTGCCCAGGGACAGTACATACACAGCTCTCGATCTGCATGGCCACCAAGCTGTTTTTTCATTACTCTATTTGATACATCCAAATTAATCAAAAAGCAAACTTTATTTCCATAGCCTATGTAATATTTAAACTCCCTATCACGTATGTTACAAATTTATAATAAAGAGCCCCATTTTAAGCAAATTCAGAAACATCTGCTTAAAAATATATTGTCTATATTCTGTAGGAAATCAAATCAGTAACCTAAGTAATAATAATTTTTAAACATCCAGAATTAGAGTTTTGACCCTGACCACAAAGAAACTTGGAAAGGATTGAAATATATGAACAGTAAAGTTGCAATCCCCAGAAGTCTCTTTATCCCCCTCCTCCATGTACACTGCTGTCACTTAAATAAGGCACACGCTGGAAGAGCCTGAGAGCTGAAAGTTGTGTTCATCTGCTATGCCAGGAAGACATCTGTTTTGACATGGATACGAGGGCTCAGTATCTTGGTCACAATGACCTCCTCTGAATCTAGGCATTCTTTGTTGTTAATCTCTGGAGATCTCCTGACTCCTTGGCATTCTCAGGATAAGACTAACAGTCAAGGAGCTGACCCAATCCCAACAAAGCACGCATGGACTGGCCCTGCATTTGAAATCTCAATGCTGTTGTACATTTTACATAACGTATCAGTGATTAGAATGATTGTCCATGATACACAATACCTCATTTCAATTTCTTTTTAACTCTTTTGTGGGTTCAAACTTTCATTTGGCTCTCCTTAGGAAAAAGCCCACCAAATGGTATTCTAGTAAATATAAAAGCTGTTTTTCATACTCCTAAAAAATTGCTGTGCTAGTGAAAATAATTCAGAATTACATGAACTAGAATGACATATAGAACGAACACACAACAAAGTCCAAGGTTATAAAGTTATGGAAGTTATAAAAACTGGATTTTGGTCCCTACAGCTACTGCAGCTCTTTCTGTACTTTATCTAGTGAGTGCTTTGCACAGGACAGTGCTGAGCTGACCAACCAGCTTACCTGATGATGTGGTTTATCACTATCGGGTCTGGTGGCAGCAGTAGGTTAGTGAGTCTCTGAGGAATTTCAGAAAATTTTAGCCGTGGACAGTCAAAGATCTGTAACACAATAAACAACAAATTTTTTTTTGTCCAAAACTTACCTTGCAGTTAAATGATAAAATAAAGAATCTGCAGCTCACAAGGAACTGAGGCAATTACAGAAGATGATTTTGAAAGCTGTAATTCAGGTTCCTTGCACAGATTAAATTTTTGGCCACTTCTGTCCCTGCACCTTCATCTGGGCTTCCAGACATATCCATCAGGCCATGAAAATTTCAGGTGTCTCACTTTTGGTTTAGTGTTGGGAAGGGTAGATAAATATGATTAAGAACCACAATGGTACAGCCAGGACGAATATAACGCCCCCTACTGGCTGGACAATAACCCTCACCTACAGAGGGGTCCAAAAGCCAAATGGACTGTTCCATCTCACCCCCCAGAATGTATGGTTCACCCCACACCTGTAACCCTCCCCTGAACCATCAGGTGCCTGTGACCCCATTGGCCCAGGTCCTGTTCCAGCCCACCCTGGAGCCCCCTTTGATAAAGGGTCTCCGGGGGGCCGGACGCCCTCTTGGATCTTCCCTTCTCCTCCTGGAGCTTCCTCCGGGAGTCCCTGCTCCCCTCTTTGTCTCTCCCCTCCCCCATCACCTCAGGCCCAGCCACATGCTGCTACACAGCTCGAGGCAGGGCCTCTCTGCATCCTGAATAAACCTGATCCCCCAAGAGCAACCAACAGAGATCTCTCGCCTATATTCACCCAAAACCATCCGTGGAACCCATCAAACGTCTTTACAGTTTAGCTACTGGAGGGAACAGGACCCTTCACTGGGACATGAGGACCAATTGTATCAATGATGGGAGAGAAGCAAATACTCCCTCTCTTACTGAGGGTTTACAGCAGCATATTGTAAAGAAAATGACTGATTTTTTTTACTGGAGAAAACACAAAAACAGTTTGCGTTTTTCCCCCCAAGGAATGTTTCCTGCAGTATTTTGTGCTAAAGGAAAATACAAAAAAACATTTCTGGATTTTAAAACCATTTGCAAATTCTGGGTTTTTCAGGATTACAGAAAAATAAAGTCAATGTGATATTATTTATTTTTAACCAAAGCCTGAACAGTCTCTTGGGAGGGATCCACCTGTTTCCAAACAACAGTTTATGGTTACTTTCTCTTTACTATGGTCCTGAAGCTAAATAGAATCATAGACTCATAGAATATCCTGGGTCGGAAGGGACTGACAAGGGTCACTGAGTTCAGCTCCTGGCTCTGCACAGGACAACCCTGGAAATCACACAATGAATTTCTGCTGAATTCAGGGAAAAAAAAAAAAAATTCTGGAAAGGATTAAAAGCTGTAGAGTTTGGAAATTTTCTGAGAGCAATGGCAGTGCATTGACATGAATATAGAAACAACACTCTTTACACCTTGAGTTTTCAGAAATATAATTATTTCAGCCTTTGTTTCCTACTGTGATTTTTAATGCTCTGAACAGGCAAACAGACTTTTCTCTAAAGATATTCCATTTAAACTCACCTTAAAAAAACCATATATAAAAACCTATATATTAACAGTTGCCTTAAAATGTGCCTTTATATGGAGGCAATTTGTAAAAATGTTCAGGCCTATGCAAATGCCTCTTAGGGAAACTATTTTCACCTGACAGTAGAGATACACTACTCATAGTATTATATCTATAAACAGAAACAACCTTTGCAGCTCCAGAGACAAAGGATGCAGGCAGGGTTGAAAATAAAGGACTCTCAGGTTGTAGAATAGACATACAATAGACATTTGGGGGTCCTCACATAGGGTATCTTTTGAAATTCACAGTTTTCTCACGTGAGTGAATTTGGCAGCAGAAATACCTAGGAGCCAGTCTAGGAACCATTTGCAAGGTTCTATTGTTACACAAGAAAAAAAAAAAAAAAAAAAAAAAAAAAAAAAAAAACAATGGATGCTAATGTAAACATTGTTTCTACCAGAAAATGATCTGTTTTTACCAACTCTAAAAGCTGTGTTGGACTTGCCTGCATCTAGGAATTCAGCCAGCTAGTTTCTGAAGAACAAGGAAGTAATGAAACTTACTGAGTCTGCAGCTCACTCCTTATTTGAGGTCTGAATTCTGACACTTGATAGAGATGACTGTGGAATTCCCACCCAAAATCTCTCCACACTAAGCTCCATGCCATCTGCTCTCATCACTGGCTCAGCACTCACGTCAAACTCCTAACATGGATGCTTGCCTGAGCAACAAGAGCTTTAAGAAGGGAAAAAGGATCAAGGGCACACATTAGTGAGAGGAGGATGTGAGACTGGAAACTAAGGCTGAGTGGAATTTTTCTAAAGCTTCTCACATTCCTGCCTAACTGGAGTTAGTGGTCTAAGCTAAGTTAGGCTCTGAAAGCCTCTCTGGCTACAGTTATCCTGGTGGGTCAGGTAACTCGTTCAGTGATCATTTTTCAGTCTGTACTGTCTTGTGCCCTTAGACATAAGCACAACACAGCAGCGTGGGATTCAGAAAAACTGGCATAGCAAGTGAGAAGATTGGTATCTCAAAGGGAATGCCAGAGCCACTGGTGCATTGTGCACTGCTCCCCTGAATGATACACACATTCCAGCCAGGACAACACTTTTCTTTCCTGGAGTTATGTGGCTAAAACTATAGAATCTACAGAAATATTATCAGACTGGAAGGCATTACTAACCCAATTCCTTTGCCCTCCATCTCTCAACCTGAGAGTATCAGAGTGAAAAACAACAAAAAAACCCCATGAAATATTTCATTTATTGTAAAGGGATTCAGATTCCTATGTAGTAGTGTCAGTTTTGAAAGCAGGATCACCTAATTAGGACAATTTTGCCAGACACCTAAGGAAAACAGAAACACACAAAACAATCCCATTTATAATTTAAATCACTGCAAGCACTGAATTCTTATGAAACTATTCCAGATTAGTCAGCTCTTGCAAGGTGTGAGATTCAGTCTTCTAGAAAAGCAATCAGCTACATCCCAACTCTCTCATTTAACCCATCTTCTGAGGATGACAAGACAATTTTCAGGTGTCACAGCACTCCTGCAGAGTTCTAAGACAAAGGAGACCTAAGAGCAAGTAAGTCTCTAATGAGATGCATGAGGAGAAGATAGCTTCAACAACTTCTTACTCTAATAAAGTTCTTAAACTGAAAGTTAAAATAAATAAAATTGATGAGGCTCTCCTGCTTACTAAAAATAACATAGGTACATCTGTACAGGGCCACACAAAGGATCTGCTACAAATCTACCATACTATCCGCCCTTGGTAGTGGCTAAAAGTAGATACTAAAGGAAAACTGTAAGAACAGGAGAAACATGTACTGGTTCTTCCCCCAGAAAACTCCCCCAACTTCCACAGCTTTGCATTTTAAACAGCCCAAGATTCGTCATCCATTGATTTGTCAATTTTGGAACCTATATACACTTTATACCTATATACACTAATACACTTTAGCATTTGCAAGGTCCTATTGCAAGGAGTTTTGAAGTTTAAATGTGCTTGAGTCCTTTTGTTTGTTTTCAATTTGCTACCTGCCAGTTTTAGTCGATGAACTGTAATTGCTGACCAAAATATAAAAAATACTCCTTTTTCACATTTTTCCTTCTGCTCATGATTTTTCAAATGTCTTCTACCTCCCCTTTCCCATTTCCTCTTTGAGCTAGCGGAAACAAAACTCAGTCTAAATTTGCTATAGTTAAATAAAGAATGGAAATCAAATAATCTAATCAAGAGAACAAACAGAATTGTCATTTTGACAAAAATTCTTACATGGTTTTAATATGTAGTTTTCACTATTTGTGAAAAAGACTACATGCTGTAATCCTCAAAAAACCAAAACCTAAACGAACAAGAGAATGACTATATAATCCTGATCACTTTGGTTCTATATCCCTAAAAATACCCATGAATCTCACAATTATTTTGTTGCATTTTGTAGTTGCAAATGTGCAGAGGTATCTTGAAATTTACTTCAAGCATTGGCTACTTTGAACTGTTGTAGGGCAATTAATAACAGAAAATAAAAATATAAAAAGAAAACTGGGATACAAGTTTCATCACAACATTTACTTTCATTGCTTGCTAAAACATTATTCATTCATTGTAATTGACAGTACTTTCCTTACATGGAATTATTTCACAAACCCTACTTTCAATTACTTTCAAAGTAAGTCATGTGTGCCTGAAAAACAAAGCCAGGTAAGACAGTGATAGCTCAGTTAACATTACCTTTCAAAAAAAACCCATAATCATATCTACAGAAAGGGTGGCAATGCTTTTATGTGGCCTTCTTGGTTAATTCTAGAGGTCACTGTGCAAGACAAAAAGACTTAACATGCTACTTTAAAATATCATGGAGATCTTTAAGGGCATTTCATTATCTGAAGAAGATTTACAAAAAAACAGCTATTCTAATTGTATCTTCCATGTCTTCTTCCTTCATAAATAGGGAAAGAGAAGGGAAGAAAACAGGTCTACATATGATGTGACAATCAGAATCAGCAGATTATTTCTTAGCATAAAATGATAAAATGGAGGAAAAAAACCCATCAAATCAATACAGAAGTCCTCCTTCCTGGAAAGGCCACAACTTTTGTGGAAGTGCTGAACCACCAAATGTAGGGGGTTTTGACAACACATGGCACATAGTGGCTGCTGAAAACCATTCGGTACTGAGGATACAGCAAATCATCAAGGGAAAATAAGAATCAGTCATTTTCATTCACAGCAAATTTGTGGCTGGATATTAGAGTTTGCTTCTAAAGAGCTACTGTGTCCAAAGAAGAGTTACCTGCTGGAAGTACTTGTCGCAGTTAATGTATTCCTTATCGTGGGAGTCTTGCAGCTTGTTTGTTTTGATGTACTGCCAGAGAGCCTGGATGATGGCCGAGCGTGTCTGCGTGTGGATCCCCAGCAGGCGGGCCAGCCGCGGGTCCAGCTTGAACTGGGGTGGCTGGAACAGAGAGCCAACAAGGTGGCAGTACAGAGCAAAGCAGACAGACATGCAAGGATGAAGGCTCGGTTTTCATCTCTGGGGACTCTGCTCCTCAGGAGACGTATCTCATTCAGTGACAGAGATTGCAAAAAATACAAGTTTATATTTTTGTGTCCCACCATTGGTGCTCTGGAAGAAGGACCTTGTACCCATGCTGTGCACACAGACTACCTGTAGCACATGCTTCAAATAATAAAAACTTGCACAAAGACTCAGGAAGAATTTTCCCTTTCAACACTGATTTGACTTATGGGAATGAGAGAAAAAAAGAACAGCGCTTCCCCTCAACTACTGGAAGTTAACCACAGAGAGAGAGAAGGAAGGCAGGATGATGCTTCCACAGCTGCTAATAACTGCTGTGTCACATCAACACACTGTTTTGCAACTCTGTTCAAGCATGAACATTCTGGTGCACACCAAAAAATTTACCCAACCACAACCAGTCAATGGATTTTATTTCTTTTCCTGATCTCAGTGATACAATTCAACTTCCCTGTTCTCCGTCTCTTGTAACATAAACCTTGGATAATTTGGAATTGGATGCTTCTTCAAGTGCGTACTCATACTCAGGTTTAGTATTCACCACATTATTAAGCAAGCATTACTCTGATGGGTGGCAGTTCACCCAAAGCTAGCTTTATAACAAATCAGGACCTAAGAACAAAAGAACATCTATTTTAAAGCATAAATTTATAATAATGCTGAGCATAACAAACATCCTCATATTGTCTTAATAGCAAAAATTCTCACTGCCTATATCAGTATTTCAGTTAGCCCATATGCTCCCTAAAACAAATAAAATTTTCTCTCTGTTAACATAAAATGGAGTGTCTATATCCTGAATAGATGCTATTTGCCTGGAGGTAAAAGAAGGTGGCAGAGAACAAGTTCTTAAAGTTACACCATCAAAATGCATCTGAGCCTGAACTGTCATTGAAAAGGGGATCCCATCTACTGGCAGCAGTGGAGTTTAACAACTAACAGTTTCCTTAAGACAGCAACATTTCTTCAGGGACAGTTTCAGTCAGATAAGCAAGCTCCACAACTGCAGTATCCATCATTTGTGCCAAGGTAAGGCTGCCACAGCTACACAGCTAGTTCAGGTATCACTAGCAAAAGCTTCTTTGAATGTTTTTTTAAAGAAACACACGCATAACTTGTGTACAACCTATCTGACTATTCTCTAAGAAGCTAGAGGAGGAAATGCATATTTTTTCTGCAGATGGGCAATAAAAATACTAATTATAATGCCAAGACCAATATTTTGCTAGACTATATTAGAAACTCACTTGATTTGTCCCCTTTAAATTTTAAATAATCCATCCATTTAGTATCATTCTAACTTCAATGAACCATGTGACACTGCAAGGACAAGTATATTGGATTTTGAGGTGTGTGACAAGATGAGTTTGCTCAGTTACACTAGGTCCCAGTGGCTGTATGTTTCAGGCTAAAAGCAGTGCACTGACCTGGTAGTCCAACATGAGGAGTAATGTACATCGCACGCTGACATCCCCAGGTCTCTTCACCTGGAAGCCATCTGTTTCCTGGGTTGTGGGAGTTCTGTGCCACTAACAAAGGGAAAAACAAAATTGTTGGTATTTTTTTCACTGATGTCCACGGAGGTGCATCTTGAGCAGTCTCGGACAAGTGCAAGCTTTCTGAAGATCTTGCAATCTAAAAAAGAAACCCGACAACAAAAAAACCAAACCACAACACCCACCCCCCCACCCCCATCCACCCCCTCAGTCATTTCAATTCAGCTTCACTGCAGAATCTGCTCTGCTGTTAACACACTTTACATGTCAGGAGAAATGTGCACAATATTTTCATCTTTTCATACACTCTGTTCCAAGGTGTGCACTGCAACACTAAATCATCTATGGTTTTAGAGACGATTCCTTTATCAAACATTCTTAAGGATAACGGAATTTTGAAAACTTTGAAAATACTTTAAATGAGATAATGAATGTAAAGTCCCTTAAACAAGGGAGGCAACAGCTGCCAGGTGTTTATGTGTGCCAGCAATTGGTTTGTACACAAAGGGTGCACAGCCTTCTCACCTCCACAAGATGATTGTCAGGTCCATAAAGATCTTTGTCCAGTTCAATAACCAAACTCTTAAAAAAAGATGAAAACTTCCGTTTCTGTTTGCTGAGCTGTACAAGCAGAAGAACCAGACATGTATAAGGCTACATTTGTTAGCTTGTGTTGTAGACTTCTCAGTCTGTCTTGAACATTAAATCCCATGTAAACCACAAGTGTGATCAATCTAATTGAGTTCTCCCTCTGACAAAAACAGGCTAAGATGCACAAATCTCTACAGCAGTGGAACAGTGCATATTTTAGGGAAGATTTCCTTGACTCTTAATGTTATTGAAAAGGACTGGTCTGTAAGGTGAACATGGCATCTATGAGAAACATCCAGAGAATGGCCATGAAAATTATCCCAGGACTGGAGCACCTCTCCTGTGAGGACAAGGCTGAGAGAGCTGGGGTTGTTCAGCCCAGAGAAACACAGGTTGCAGGGAGTATTTAAAGGGGGCTTGTAAGAAAGATCAAGGGAGACGTATTACCAAGGTCTGTAGTGACAGGGTAAGGGGCAATGGTTTTAATGAAAGATTTAGGTTTGGACTGGTCTTAAGAAGGACATTTTTTACTCAAAGGGTGGTGAGGCACAGTTTGCCCACAGAAGCCCTGGCTGCCCCATCCCTGAAAGTGTTCCAGGACAGATTGGATGGGGCTTTGAGAAACATGGGCTAGTGGAAGGTGTCCCTGTCCAGGGCAGTGGGATGGAATGAGATGGTCTTGAAGATCCCTTCCAACCCAAACCATTCTATGATCCTAAGTCCTCTGTATACCTTTCTTTTTAAAAGCCTGTTTTTTTTTGGTGGTTTTTTTTTCTTTTTTTTTTTTTTTTCTTTTTTTTTTTATGAATGCTAATTTCTTGGTCTGATTTATCAGATTACAGTAAATTTTGCAGACTGGTCATACACTAAGCAAAACTATTTCTTTTGAAGTATTTTATTTTCATTTAATTATCAGTATTTGTTTTTTACTGCACAGCTCATACTGTCTATATTAAAAACTAGAAGGTCTATCATTAGCTGACTCCACAGAACACAGACCACAGGATTCCAATTTATTTCTTTATATTTAATGCAGATAACACTTTATTAAAAAATGCTGGCAATTAAAAAGCTGTGTTGTTCCAAAAAAGAATCTCTTTCTTTATTGAAATTTATGCTCTAATTTCTAAACTGAATTTGTCTAACTTCAATTCCCAGATGCTGCACTTTATCACTACTTCCTCCTCCAGCAAGATTCTGATTCATGTAGTTACCTCCAGACAGACTGAAAGCCTTACCCTCTCCATGCATGCATGTTCTCCATCTGTTTAGCCTACAAATAATAGCTTGTGAAATCTATTCAAATAGATGATGCCTTTATTAGGAAAGTCCAGCCTTCCCTAAGGAGACCTAAATCCACCACTGAGGCTTCTGAGGACTTCATCATGGCAAAATGTTTCTTCCATCCTTGCTCTAACCATTCACACACTGTGTTGTACCTCCTAAGAATATGAAATACTGCCTTCTCCTTGTTATCCTGCTCTTCACAAGAGGCAATGCCCACTGTAGGCCAGAATTACCACACCTGCTGTAACCTGGACCCTGACATCTCTTTAAAGTGATTAATCTCAGCCCTCTTCTCTTCACTTCCTCCTACCTCTCCTGTCCTTATGTTTCTCATTTTCTGCCTCATTTTCTGCTGCACTCTCCAACATTCCCATTAGGGCCTTATTCCTCACTTGGGTTGGGCACAGTGCCTTCCCAGCAGCAACGAGTCAACACTACCATTCAGATATGTCTTGTCTCAGCTGATGTCCCCAGTAAAACCTACCACCCCAAAGGACAATCTTTAGATCCTGCCAGCCCCAGTGAAGCAGAGATAAGTCATACATCATCCAGGAGCTTCCCCTCCACGCGCAGCTCCCACGAAGCAATGCTGCCATCAGAGTCATCAGCATCTGATTTTGCAGGATTAAATGTGTTGGAGATGTAAAGTCTCAGTTTCCGCTTTTGCTGTTATGCACAAAGAGAAGGGAAAAGTATATATCCAGTTTAAGTTCAGGATCTGAGGAAGCTGCATGAAAGGTGATAATTGCACACGTAACAGGGATTCTCCATGTTTTGTACAGCTGCACCAGATGTATTAGAATTTAAGATTCTGTTATATGCACAAAAATATACTGAAGAGCTGAATCTGAAAATTCCTTTCAAAAACTCTTGGCTATACAAACATGCTGAAATTCACTGTAAATGGAGGAAGACAGGAGGTCGCCATGCCTAAGAAGTGATACATCCTATACTTCTGGATTAGATAGCTGAGAAATCATTGTGAGTAAAGCATGATATTATGTCCTTTCTGGCTTCAACCTAGCTAGATTGCTAAAATTCAGCTGCAACTCTATTGCAACACAAATGTCCTTCATAGGTGCATCTGTTCAGACTTGAAAATGGCAGTCACAAATACAGCTCATGCTGCAAATTACCTGCCAGGCACATCTCTGCCCATTCTGCATACTACCATCATGCAGCATCCAGTAACAATGCTGCAGACACACCTGAACACACCGACACACACACACCGACTGCCTTACCCTCCTCTTCACCCCACCTGCCTTCATCCTGAGCAAACATGCTGCAGCTCCAGCTTGCTGGGAGACCTGAGTGAAAAAAGGACCCTGCTTCATCCCTAACCCAGGTGCTCAAGTCTGTCAGAGATAAAATAATGCTAATACATTGTCATTTTTATAGACCACCTGAAGTTTTCCAGAAACTGTAGTGGCTTATGGCTGTATCATTTCTCAGTGCCCTTCCTCCCATGCATCATGTGGAAAACCCAGCTATTAAGTCTGATGCATGGATTCCAGAAAAGATTGTTACAAAAAATTACTTTGGGACTCTAATCTCCCATACCTATGTAGAATACAATGTCAAAAAGGCTACAGTTGTCAAATCAATGCCATCAAAACAACATAAGAAAGGAGCAATCTTGTAAAGCTTATACACACATTGGAGAGAACGAGTAACATACAGCAGATTATACAGCATAATCTGGCATAGAGGAATGGGATAGGCAGAGATGTATGGCTGAAGAGGAACAGGAAAATTACTGCATTTTGCCAAATCTGGAGTGACAGAGAGGTTTGATAGAAATGGAGTGTCAACAGTATGCTCTGACAGGGAACAGGATTTTCCAAAGTGCTATCAGTGCAGAAAATGATAGGTTAACAGAAAACCATTCTTGTGAATCCATGTCTTCACCATCCTTTCCCACAAGATTTCTGTTGCCAAAGTGCTATTTCATAATATAATTATATTATTGACCCCAAAACTCTATTTAGTGTGGTGGATTTGTGAAGGACTTCACATTTCTAAACTCAAAACTCTTCCAATCACCCTGGACATTTTATGCACCGTTCCTGAATTTTATCCCCACCTGGATTGCTCGCAGAACTGTACTTATATACACAAGCAGGCTTTTACTTAACAGGCATCTAGCGTCACCAGCACCACTGGCTGCTTGTAAGAGCTACCTGGGAATGGTAGCTCTTCTGCTCCCAGACATTTTGGGAGGCCGTCTCCTCTTCCAGGTCCAGGAACTAGACAATGGCTCTTGAACTTGGCCTACATACCCTTATTACCAACAGTGGTAATGCATACTTTGTGCAGTGGAATTTAAAAAAATTAAATGTAGAAATCCCTAGCAAAATTTCAGAACCGTGGCTCTACAGCCAGGAACAGTTACTTTGGACCCTTAAGCTCCTTCTCTCCTACTGTGACTGTTCTCCTGGCAGCTGATTCACACTACCATCGAGCCTGCAAAGCAAGACCCTTCGCAGAGACCCAAGAGTACAGAATGAATCCCACATGAAGGGATCAATCCAACAACAACTCCAGCATGCACAGCTATACTGCTGTCATAAGGATGTCCAGTCTTGGAAGACACCAGTTCAGAGATGAGATATAGTCAAAACTGAGCTCAAAAAAGAAAGATACCAACATGGTGCTTGGTGGGGTTTTAGAGTAGAGGCCACAAAGTCTCTTCAGCTGCTGATACACACCAAAACCCACTGCATTTGGTTCACCCTCAGTAGCCCTGTGTTCCACAACAATGTCAAGTTCATATCCAGAAGGCTCTCAGAATGACATATTCTTCTGTTTCCAGTTGAGCAACTCCATCTCATCCAGGCAGGAAATGATAAAATTTATGAGCAACTTGAATGCTTTGCAGCTTAAATAAAGCAGTGGCAAGAAGCCACTGCCCTTCAATAAATTCTGCAAATTTCCTAGCCTGGTGCTTTATCACACAGACCTATCTCCTCTCTGTATGGTGGATTCTCAGAGAACAGAAGAGCAAGCAACCAAAGGATTCTCAGTAGCTGGGAGCAAAAACTAAAGAGAAGACTTACAGCTCTAGGGCAAAAAGAAAGCATAACATTTCATCTCTTCAGACACCAGAACTTTACCACCCGAAAAGGCAAAGCTAAGCATGGGAAACTTCACAGAGACTTGATCAACATTGTGAATCAAATAATCTCTTGTCCAAAAATCAGTAAATGCTTGATCTCCTTGCTCTCTTAGAGCAAGACACTGATCTTTGACTCAGCTTCAGCAAAAGGAACTTAAAATAGCAATCATATTAAAATGAAAAGTCTTCACTTAAACCCATTGTATTTTACTTACAATTTTTCCTTGAGAAAACGAAAAGGGAAAAAGCAATCATATGTAACAGATGGTCATGTCAGCAATGAACTCCTGCAAAGGTCTCAGCACAACTGCTGGGCGAGCTCACGTGAAATCAAACAGATCTGAATGGGAGGCTGACAGGAACGGTGGAGCAGCACACCTAGAGCTTGTTCTTTCTTCAAGTTCTCTGATGTCATCTTAACACAAATCAATACAACTTTACGTTCAAGTAAATGGCTGAAATGCTGGAAATCTGTCAAATCCTTCAGAAAACCTTCCCTGGTTTACAGTGTTACTTTTTTTTTTTTTTTTTCAGGTTCCATTAATATTGAATCCCTAACAAGTTGAATCAGAAAGTTAAGCACCTGATGACCCCACGATCTGTGTGCTATCCCCCAGACAAATCTCCATCAACTGCTGAAGTTAGTTTCCTTCAATGAACTCTCAGGTGGATCCAAAACCTCCCGGACACTTCCAGGGAAGTTGTGCTTGGGATTTTAAATAAATGAACAAAGTTATTAGCAGATAGTCTACTGCTGACTGACTCAAGAAAATCTGAGTGCCAATCTGGTAAGCAGTACTGTGTTAAGTGCTCTCTAAGTATATCTTAAGGGTGAATTTCCATGAACCTCAACATAGCATAAAAACCTCAAGCAGAAATCACAGAAAAGATTGAAATCTGTGTTTCTCCTTTTGCATATACTGTAACCATTTCCTGGTCTCACAGAAAAAAAAAGTTCTTAGAAAGCAAAATGAACAGTGGTAGCATGGAAACTAAAAATCAGGAGACAGAAAAAACAATGGCCACTGTTTGATCGTTATGAAATACCCAAATTAAATGAAGAATGTCCATATCAGAGCTGGAACATAGAGGCATCTTGCTCAGAGCAGCAGCAAGATACGTCAAAATTTGTAGAGGAAACAAAATTAGTTAGGTAACTCCTGAAAAAAATGGACATGAACTTAAAAATGGCCAATCCAAAGCAGAAAAACCAGTAACTTAGTAGACTACACAAGTATCATGAATAATTAAAAGGAATGAGACAATACGTACTAAGTTCAAAATTGCACCAACACATGAAAAATACTTGCAGATAGTTCTATAAAAGTGTAAACAACAACAACATCAAAACTCAAAAAAAGGTGAAGCAAATACTACTGAGGAATAAAATGGAAATTTGTATGCACAACAGTCTACAAAATCAGCTGTAGCAGCTTATTTCATAGTTGTATATTGTACTTCCTCAGGAGAGAATGAGAAGTTGTATAGTGACAGGTAATAAGAAGAAGCCAGGTGCACTGAAAAGTTTTTTTTCTACAGTGATTGGGAGGAATTAATTTTTTACCTGAGAAAAGAGAACATTAAAGAACCTAAAAGACATATTTAAAACACTGACTGATTAAAGGCGATAAGGTGTTTGCATTTTCCTTATCTCATAATGCAAAAAGCAGAACACATAGAATTATGCCACAAGACAAGTGTTTCAGAAAAAAAACCAAATTGCTTTCTGGCAACAATCCAATATCAATTCCTCAGTCATCTTAAAATCTGAAAGTGGGAGAAAAAAAATCTCAATTCACAAAACTAGGGAGAGAGACACTATAATGGTGTTCTGATGCTACTACTTTTTTTTCACCTAAAAATGGAAAACCTGGAAGCAGATCATTTAGTTTGCAAATTGCAACTACACACATATCTGGTAAACTGAATGTCTCACATCAGCTCACTGCAAAAGAATGACAGTCCCTGGATGACAGTCTCTGGTTTGGGTGAGATGAAAGTACTGTTTGTGGTGCCAGGACTTGGAGTAGGAGCCGTGCTTGTGACATGGTCACATCCCACTTTCAGTCAGAAGACCCTGGTTCAGGCTTTGGGATGAAAATCATCTCAGTCTTATAATTATGTTTATGGTGACAACTTCTATCTCAGGGTTACACAATGCAGAGAAATAAGCATTTTTAGACTGTTATTTATCTATTTTAAACATACACTTCTGTATGAGAAGAATTGTGCCCTGAACAGCACTGCCTACACCAACTTAATCTCTCAACCATGAAGGGAGCCAAGAGTAACGAGCTCACATATAAATGAATGAAATGGCTATGTCTATACTCAGCCAAATAAATCCCACTCCCAAAGTCTACCATGGTCTTAGAGCTGCACAGATTTTCAGTAATTCATTATTTAAGGACAGTTAGTGGTCTGTTGAGTGTCTGGTTTCCATTTCCTTCAGGCCATGGAGTTTGCTGTATCTGTCAAACAGCCCTGTCTGCCTGACTACCTCCTAAAAGCTCTTTCTGGAATTCTCACCATGTGGGTCTTCCATGAAGTCAGTACAAGGACACTTGCTAATGCTGCTCTGCAGACAAGGAATTCTGAGACTCTCATGAGAGATGCAATCCAAGAATGCAGGACTGGCTGAAGAAGAGGAGAGTACACAGCAGTGTCCAACCAGCAGGAAACTGCCAAGGCAAGATCTAAACTGGAAAAGCTGGCAGCTGAAGAGAGCTGCTGACAGCAGTCAAAGGAGCTGACAGGTGGGGAAGGCCATTTTCCCCTTCAACAGCTGCCCAAACCCCAGGTCTCCTCACTTCTTGAGCCATCCCACAGCTGTCATCTGGTTCAAGAGTGCAACTGTTCTCAGGAGATCCAACTAGGATCAACAAGCCAAACATATTTTATGCACTGTCTTCATAAAAATAATGCTTTAACCAATTATCCCTAAAATTTCCCCAGAATAATTAGTCTTCAGACAGAAAAAAAACCCCAGCCTGAGCAGCACTAGACCGTAAATCTGTGGTTCCCTACAACTGTTTCTAGCTACAGCTCAATCACTGTAACAAACACTGTAACTGCAACTACAGCTGAGAACTCTGAGAAATCCTACATATCACCTACATAATTTCACATACTTTAGACAAATTCATATTTCTCCTAGGATTACAATTCCAGTTTGAGAATCACTGTTTTAAGGCAAATGTTTCAAAATTACAAAAGCTTTGACAAGAGAAGGAAATGCAGAGATAACCTCTATTGCTGTTACCAATTTTGCAACTACAATAAAATGGAAATACTTAACATTAAGAAAAGCCCAAGTTTATCTAGGTTTAGCCCTATTTTGACAGGTCTGATACTTATATGCTAGGATTACCTATACATGAATTTGGAAAACATGTTTTCCAAATTCATGCATAGGTAATCCTAGCATATAAGTTCTCATCTGATCATTCTCTAGATGTTAACTGGGTAAATGATATTTAAAACATGTTTGCTGAGCCCTAGATGAAAGCAGAATTTTCTGTCTACAGTTTCTGTTGTGCCTCCTACACTCTTCCCTACCCAGACACTGAATATCTCAATAGCACAGCTTACAGCTAGGACCTTGTGCACTTGTTAATTCCTAAAGGGTTTGCCACAGCATAAATAACTTCCTGATTTAAGAATTAAGTCAAAGTCTTCAATCACCTTTAAATATGGCCAGATTCCTAACTAGTTTAAAAGAATTGTGTTCAACCTGTATCAAGAAGGTAAGACAAATGATTTCTTCTGAGAATACTGTATATTATGTGCAACACTTTTTAAGAATGAACTCATGATTTAGACCATCCAGGATTCAGTTTCCTTTCTGTCTAGGAGGTGTTAATGGACAACAGAATATTGAACTTTGTTGGGCTGACCCCCATCACTGTGGTACAGACAAAAATGATAGCTTTGTGTCATGACAGACATATAGCTACAAAACCCTTCATTCTATGGGAATTATTTGAGGAATAGAGTATGAGCTACCCAATACAGTCACAAGAACTTAAATGAGACACAAAAATAAATTCTTCACAATGAGAGTGGACAAAAAATGTAACAGACTGCCTGACAAGGCTGTGAAACCTCCACCCTTACAGATTTTCAAAACTCAACAAGGCCTTGACAACCCTGTTTTTAACAGAAGGTTGAACTAGATAACTTCCAGTTTCCTCCTGTCTAAACTATTCCATGATTCTAGACTCAGAAAACTTAGAAGCAGACCTTTTCAGTGGGATATTAGGAAGAGCAAAGAGCAGAACTTTATCTAATAGAAACTGGAGAAAATATCATCCATTCTTTTCTTACACAAATAATACCTTCTGTAAGTAATTCTTCCCATTGTATGTTCTGTTACTCCACAAGTTCCACTTTTGACCAAATCTGAATTGGAAACGTAATGCATACCTTTGGCACACCCCTCTAATCTCTTATTTCCTCATTTTTTATTATTTTAATGCAAAGTTCCCAAACCAGTTTTTATCTATCCTTTATTTATCCCTAGGCTATTATTCCCCTTATTAAAGACTTTCAGAAGCTAAAGCTGGTAACAGCCACAGAATTTTCTCTACCACTTTTCTATGCATACCGACTCCCAGCTGTTTGCTCTTAGGAGCTCAGCCTAACACATTCCAAAGCATTTCTGCTAATGGGACTTTTACTCGAAAGGTATTTCCACCATTTACTACAAGAATTATTTTCTTCCTCTGACACAATAGACACATTTTTCACAACATACCTTCATTGGCCTCTTCAGTGCTTCCTGAATATCCACACGCTTCCGCATAATGGTCTGGTCTAGTTTGCGCTCAAAGGCCAAGAGATCCATGTAGGCCTGAGACTCAGGAACCAGCTCCCGGATCTGAGAAGGAAGCAAGGAATATCCAAACATTGGAAGCAGGAATCTGCCATGTCCCAGAACAGCAACACCGACACATTCCCAGCCCTTGGACAGGTGTGCCCAGGGGAGTTCTCCCCTGACAGCAGCTCCCAGACATGTGGCAAGTCTCAGTGCCATGGGACAAGCACAGACTGAAGAGCAGGAGCACAGAACTGAGCCTAATGCATTCTGGAAGACCCTGCCTGAATCCATAAAGTCTGAATCATGGCTCTTTTCTTTGAGTGAGGCTTAGCCACCAATCCAAAGTACAGTGAGTTTGTCCTGTTCAAAACTGGAAAAGTGCTGCATCTCCCTAGACTAAAGGTGTGGGGGGGTGTTCATGGTGACATTTCAAAAACAAGTGTCACCCATTGTAAGTAAAAACTGCCAAGTAGGATGCCTGCCTTTGTTCGCACATCTTCCTGGCTGAGGTGAAATTGACCTTCATGTCAAAGTTTCAACATGACCAGCTATCAGGTGTCAACTTATGATCCTGCCAACTTTTATTGGTATTTTGATACATCAGTTCTATTGATAAACCCTCTTTTTATTTTCTCTTTTACAAGGAAGTTAGCAGAGGAGGGGATATGAAGTAGGTTGGAAGTAAGACCTAATGAACTGAGCTTAGAAATGGGTAAGTATACCCTTAAATGAAAATGTTGGTTCTGAATTTGGAATAACTCATGCAGGAAAACCATAAAATGATACTGTAAGTAATGAAAATAGATATATTAGATAACCTTTTCTATTTCTACAATATTCACTCTAGCTTTCACTTATTCAACTAAAATATTTAACTGCTATAATAGTCCCACAGGAATTAAAAGTGAGTTGGTATTCATGTTGTGCTTTAGAATCAGTTAGTTACAGTTAAAATTACAGTTTATATCTGGTGTAAGGTACAAACACCTATGTGAGAGACACCAGGCATGCACCTATTCCCTGTGTTCTGCAAGGACATAAGAACTATAGCACGAGGTCACGCCAATAGCTGGCTCTCCTAGTATTGTGTCTCTGACAAGGCTTCAAAGTTGCTGCCTTTTAGTATCCGCAAGAGCCCAAGACAGAGCATTCCAGAACCTCACCAGGCAACGCGGGAAGAAGAACCTCCTTTTGCTCGTTTGGAACCTGCCACGAGCAAGTTTCATTTGATGCCATTTCCCTGCACTGCTGGAGCAGCAGCGGGAAGGCATTCCCTAGGCACCTTTGCTGTATGTTTTACAGGTTTTTGACATACCTTTCTTAATAAATTTATTTTCCAGCCTGAAGACAAACAATTTGTCCCTGCTGTATTTATACAGACTAAGGTTATCAAATAAATATCTCTTTCAACTGACTCTTTTTCTTTTGAGATGGTAGAATACCTGCTCTACTCACAACAAGACTGATACTTTGGAAAAGCAGAAGCCAAAGAGAAAAAATTCTTCTCAGCTTTAGCCAAACCATCATATTTTTAACTGCTTATATGCTTCCCAAAGTGTTAGTATCAGCAGCATAATAAAAGAAACATGAGCATGAAGAGCAAGCATTACCCTGGAAACATCAAGGAATTGACTGACAGCTTGCAGAGTAAGGGCAGCAAGGCAGTGAGTGCAAATCTTTGGACACAACAAAACACCCCAATGTTTTTTCTCCTGTTCTGCACAGATGAAAAGATTCCTCAGTTCCTTGCCTGAAGAAATTAATGATGGTGTGCTACAGTCAATTAAAAATTCTGGACTGAGAAAGTAGTTTCTGACCTTTAATGCCAAGTTCCATCAGAGTCAGTGTGCGAACCCCCCGGGCACATGGTGAAGCAGGGCGAGGCCTACAGAGTCCTTAGGATACAGCCTATACAACGCAGGTGATACAACTTTCTAGCTGGTTCAATGGGTACTAGACCCTAGATCTAATAAAATTTCTAGGAAGTTTGTAGAAACAGCAGAAAACTTCAATAAATATTTTTAATCCACACTTTTACATCTTTTACCATATGAAAGTGAAAGGGTTATTTCCTATTCCATTCCTATAACCAAACTGGATGTTAAATATTATAAGATGCTAAAAAACATAAACACTTTAAAATCAGCCAGAGACAAAACTGCATCTAATTCCTTGAACTGCAAATGGCTGTAGGCTGGGAGAGCACTGACAAGAAGACTTGTACTTGCTGTGTTTGTATTCTTCTCTAGGGATGTGTTACGGTCGCAGCAAAGATGGGATTTTGGGCAAGATTAAAGACTCAGGCCAGTTTTGGCAGCTCTCAGTCTTTTGCTTTCTCATCCTACTACTGGAATAATCTTTTGGAGACATGATAGTGCCTATGTGATAGGAATCTGTGCAGCCTGCCTAATTCCTTCTCTTGCATGGCTTGCCCTAACGGAAAAGTTCATAGCTCTGTGCAGGTCTACACTCTTCTAACTAAAGTTCTAACTATAGATGCAAAGAGAGTGTTTCAATACTTAAATTCTCCATTCTGGCCTTTATCTAAAAAGGCCAGAATGAAGATGTTTCTTGAAGAAACTCTGGAAAGCACCTAGCAGAACCAGCATCTTGTCAGCCAAGGTTTTGAATATATGTAGCTATACTTTATCTTAGAATTCCATGGATAACTGGAAGAAATTACTATTAACATTAGTAAGACAGTGTCTTTCTTGAGGCTGGAGTTGTTTATTTTTCTATTATGAAAATTCAAACATTTCAAACTTTCAAAGATTAGTAAAAAGTAATTGTTACTAAATTATGCATTTATATCCTTGATTTCCACATGATTTTTTATCAGTGGTGACAAAAAATGGCCAACGTGCAAGTGGGGGCAGTGAGGACAGTGTCAAAGGAATGCCATGATGGGAGACAGTGGGGGGGGGGGGGCCCACTACACCTGCCTGTAAACAGATGTGCAAGGCTTGTGAGACAGAATTAGAGACCAAGGAACAGCTGCAACACTACAAATTCTGGGATACAAACAACATCTTTGGATAGCCCCTATGGCTGTCATAGTATGACAGCTTGGAAGGCAATGACAGCAGTCAGCAGGCTGGGGAAAACCATGAGGAAGCCTTCTGCAAGAAGATGAGCAGCAGAAGGGAAGCTAAGGAAAAACCCAGGTCCAGGTCTGGTTCTGCCGCTCATGTCAAAAGCCACAGAGAAGGCTCCATGGTGTCCTTGGCTCCATTGGTCCTGGCTGAGTCCCGAGCCCAGGGCAGGCAGGGCAGCAGGGCTGTGCAGAGGGAGCCTGACAGGCTGCAGAAACAGGAACGCACTTCAGCACAGTAAAGCTCAGCTCAGGAAAGCTCTACTGCTGGCAGAGAATCACACCACACAGAGGGACAGGCAGGCATCGCTGGGGTAGGAAACAGGTTGGCAGGAGAGGACTTGGGCGTCCTGAGGGACAGACAACAGTGCAGAAGGAGTCTGAGGGGTAAGGCAGCCATAGCCAAGGTCAGCAGCAAAAGGGGGCTCTATTAGCACAGGTTTTGCCATCCAGCCCAGGAAAGAGGCTCTTGTTTGCTACTCCACACTGGTGAAACTGGATCTGGATGGTGGGCACAGGAGCACAGAAATGTGACACCCTGGAGCGAGGCCCGCAGAGGCTCAGTAGGATGTTGGGGGCTGGAGCACAGACCTGCCAGGAGAAGCTGCTAGGGCTTCTCCAGCCTGGAGAAGAAAAAGGAAAAGCAGATTGCCTGGGAGAGTGTGACAGCCATGTAGACTGGTGAAGCACAGACAGGGCCAGCCTCCCCGTGGAGGTGCGTGAGATTAGGGTGAGAGGCAACAGAAACTCACTGCAGCAGGGGCAATTCATTCCCTGTAAGAATTGGTTTGTAAAAAAATCCTCTGACAAAACAAACAAAACATATTATAGTACCAAAACCTTGGAACAGGCTGCCAAGAAATGCTCTGAATTGTCCATCCTTGGCTGGAGGTATTCAGAACCTGGACAAGGTCCTGAGCAAGCTGATGAATTTTCAACCTGTTTTATACAACAGCTGGCCCGCAAAATTTTCACAGGTCCTATTGTTGTGCACTTCCAATATCCCAGAAAAAATACAATAAATAAAACTGGATCCATTTCAGGCAGAAGCAATTAGAGTTGCATTCTTCACTGTCTAAACAGGACAAACAAAACAGTTTCAGCAATCTTGATTAAGAAAACAAAGAATCACTAATAAATAGAGATTTGGCAGCTTCTTGAGAATTAGGCTACCCTAGAATTTCTGTCTTTGAGACAGGTAACAAAATCCAAGACCTCTTACTCCCCTAAGTCTGACAAGCTCAATTTGATCCTTAGCCTTTTTTACTACCTATGGCCGATGGACATAACCCACACATTTCACAGGTATTGTTGAGAACCAGATTTTTTACCTTAAGTGGCAGTGACTGAAGTCTGACTTGGGAGCTACTGGACAGTTTCCCTGCTCAGAAACTTTAGCCTATAGCTTACTGACAGAAGCCTCTACCACTGAGGCTTCTATGGTCAAAGAAAGACAGCTAAGGGCTGACACTCCTTATAAATCATGACTGTGCCACCCTACGGCCCCTAAGAGAGAGTGGCTTGAGGAGGATTTCTGACTGCCTACCATGGGGCCAGTAACAACAGTCCAGTAAAATGGCAAAAGCAACGCATGTTCTTGGTCCTCCTCTCTTAGGACCAGGCTAGCCATTGCTGTTGCTAGGTCCCCTCAGAGCCATCCATCAGCCTGAACAAGGCCAGTTGTCTCACTCTTTCCTCATGTGCTGATCCAGTCATTCAATCAACCTGACAATCATCCACTGACTTCAGTCCAGTTTGCCATTGTTTTTCTTTAATTTAGGATCCTAAAACTAGACACAATGCTCTAGCACTGAGCTACCCAGTACAGAGCAAAGAAGGGTAATCAAGTCCCTCAATCTCTTGGCTGTGCTCCTGGCCACAGATCTCTGGATGCTGTTAGACACCTCCTGCTCACACTCAGCTCACTGTCCACCAGTGCCTCCAGGGCCTTTCCAGCAGTGCTGCTTCT